CAAGTGGTGGAAAAGATAGCGCGGCAGTTTCCTGAGCACGATTTCAGCGCTTAACTCTTCCCTCCTCCTCCCCCTCCCCTCCCCTCCTTTCACAAGTCCCTCCCCACCTCCAATTCTTCGAGGAGTAACCCACTGAAGGGGAAAAAAAACCCCCTCAATTCCTCACAATGGCCACCCCGCAAGCCGCCAGCAGCCTGGCGAGCAAACTGCCCACGCGCCTCCGCAACTTCTTCGCCCGCTATCCTCCGCAAATCTATTCCACGACCGTCCGCCCTCCGATCACAGTCCCCAAGCCAGCTGCACTTGCTCAGGCGGCGGCCGGCGCCGGCGCCCCTAACGCCACGACCACGACGACGACGACGACCACCACCACCACCACCACCTCCTCCACCTCCAGCACCACGCCCATCACCGACGCGATCACCGAATCCCTCCTCCCATCCCCCTACACCCCGAACCGCGAAGCGAAGGGCTACCAGCCGCCGGACCACAAGTACTCGGACGCGCTGCTGTGGAAGGGCCCCAAGGGCCAGCTCAACCCGTTCCTGCCGCGGAAGCTGGGCGAGCGGAAGTGGGAGGGCCCCCGGATCGGCCTGCGCCGGCAGGCGGAGCTGGTGAAGCTGGCCCGCCAGTTCGGGGTCGAGGAGCTGCTCCCGCCCAGCCGCAAGTCGGCCGAGTACAAGGAGGCCCGCCGCGCCGAGAACCAGGGCCTGGCCGTCAAGGGTACCGGTGTCGGGCAGAAGGTCAAGGGCCACAAGTGGGAGCGCACCATGGAGGCGCGCCTCGAGGACCGGCGCAAGGCCATGCTCGAGATGCCCGAGATGGTGCGGTTGTGGAAGCAGGTACGTTTTCTTGTTCACCCAAATCAGTTGGGGCTTTATGAGTTAGGAGAGGGGTGTATGGAATTGGATTGCTAATGCGTTTTTGTTTTAACTACAGAGAGGTCATGGTCGTGGTTGGAAGCAGTGGCCCAAGAAATAGAGCGGTCTCTCGCTTTCATTTTATCTTGGCGGGGCTTTATGCACCCCGTTTTTTTGCCGCGCTTCTCGTCTCGATACGGTTTCTCCGAAATCAACTAATGTTTGGAGGTTATTGGGGGCTGACTTCCAGGGCCTGGGATGGATTCGGGTTACTACATGACCAAACCCCACCCTCGCTTCTTCGGGTGAGCTTTGATTGATCATCAGCCTCATTCATCATCATCGTCATCATGTTTCGGAACGGGAGTTATCTGTTTGTACAAATCGCTATATTGTTCTATATCAAGTCATGCATTTGAGTGCCCTATCCCAAATATTCAATTCCACTCTGCTTATCCGGTATCTGGTATTGCACACAACCCAAATGCCCTTAAAACGCCCTATAATCATATGCAAAAGATAGCCCCATAGTCCGATTATGCAATCTGTCACGGGCCATAAGACGGATCCACAGTATCACCAACCATGACCGTCCGAGATACGGCGGAGGCCTCCTCCTCGTCCACGGCCCCCAACGAAGCCAACCCAAGATGCCGTCCGAAGTAAATCTTATTCCCGACCTTCCGCGTCTTCGCCAACGTCGAATAGGGCTCATCTCCACGGACGCCAGTGTACTGGTCCACGCAGACCATCTGGCACCGTTGACACGACCCTAAAACATTGAACGGGACACCGTTGGGGCCACCAATGCGCACGCTCTGCCACTCATCTTCAACGTAAGGCCTCTCGGCGTTCGCCGACCTGGGAATTCTCTCTGCGACCACGATGTTGGCGCGGAACACACCGGCGGCGACGGCCTTTTTGTTGCTGCTGCCATTGCCGCCGCCGCCGCCGCTCGCGGTGTTGTTGCGCTTGATCGCCTCGTTCAAACGGTTGACGGAGGAGCGCGAGATGAGGAGGATCGGACTCTCGTTGGACAAGAGGATGGGATTCTGCGGCGACGCCAGCTGGGCATCTTGCGGAAAGGAGCCGGGCATTGTCATCCGCGCTCGCAGAGGCGAGTTTCTATTGATGAGGGGGCCGGTTGAGGAAGCAGATCTCGTCGTTGACGATTGTGGGGGGAAGCGCGCGAGGGTGCATGGCACACCCAGAAAGTTGGAGAAGAAAGAGGAGACTTCGTGCGATGTATAGGCCTGCACGATGACTTGGTCACCACAGACGGTGGAGGGCTTGGAGGAGTTCTGACATAGCGAGGTGGACACGAGGTTTAGATTCCCACGATGAAGGGGGATTTCTAGGGACTTTCCATGTGTAGAGGGTGCGCCGCCGCAAGTGATCCGCAAGAACCCGCCAGCAAGGTCGATGGCCGGCCGTATCAGCGCCATGCGCGGATATCTCTTCTGGTTGAGCGCCACACCAGTCCCCTGATGGATCAGACACCATTCCCTGTCCCATGCCAGTCCCTCCGGGTGGATCTCCCAGCGTTTACCGTCAGGCACTTTGAATGCGGCGCAGCTCTTAATAGGGTAGATTGATAGACTCTCCACATAGAACTCTGGCTGCTGGATGAGGTTGTTGACCCCTGGGGGTGCCAGAGTACACACGTCGAGACTCTTCTCCACAAAGAACTCTTCCAAGAAAGCCACGAAAGTGTTGATATCCCTTGCACTGCTCATCGCACCAAGACTGGCCCTCAAAATGCCAGTCGGTCGGCCGTCCATAATGTCATGATCGTCACCGCAACGCAACCCATGGGAGAAATGCCGGAGCATGTCGGCACCAGTCCAATCCAGACTAGCCGCTGTGCCTCCAGGGTTGCAGAGCGTACCAGATCTGATCTGAATGTTCTTGACGCCTGCCAGTCTCTCCACCTCGGACTTACCAATCCAGGTACCCTGACTATTCCGCAGATTGAATGCCAGAATCGGACCCTGCGAAGACGAATCACTATAGTCCGCGTGGGGCGACTTATAAACATGGCAGACTCTCTCCCCGTTATGATGCCGCAAAGCAACCATACGATCATGTAATTTCCTGGCCAAGAAGCGCGTGTGCGACGAGACATTGCTCATCGAGCCGAAGAGGCGCGCGTGCGTTTCAAAAGCAAGATCCAGCGCGATTATGTTATGAAATGGCAGAGTCCCATCTTCCAGCCGTTCGTGTATCGAAGACTGCTTCTTCGCATGCCAAGGCGTCTCTTGCGTGAGAACCATATCCACCGTCCCACCACCAAAGAACCTCCGCTTATCGAAGATCTGTCCTGCACTCTTGCGGACAATCAATGCCCCAATATCCGGGAATCCGAAGATCTTATAGAAACTGAGCGCCGTGAAATCGGGTGCGTTTGCCGCGTCGCTCAGATCGAGTGGAGATGTGGAGACCAGGGAAGCAGCATCGAGCATGGTATAGACCCTCTGGGAAGACATGGTACGGATCTTTCCACACCATTGGAGCGGAAACCGACGACCGTTCATGTTCGACTGCGCAGGAAACGCAAACAGCCGGTTGCCCTCAGCGGAGGCAGAACCCAACTCTGACATCCAGCGCTCGACCTCGTTGTCGGACATAAAGCATCGACTCCCGAGCGCTGCGAGCTCACGAGCCCCAACCAAGCTCGTGTGCGCGTCAACATGGTATCCATACCAGAACCCTTGGGTTGTTGCATCACGGAGGGCATCGGCGACTAATTTAATAGCCGCCGTAGCGTTGGCCACAAAGACGAGATCAAATTCTTGGGGGTCAGCGTTGAAGAATCGAAGAGCTCTTAGACGTGTGTCGTCTATCCGCTGCGTCGATAGTTGGGAGGGCGCAGAGAGTGAATGCGGGTTGCCGTAGAAGTTGGAGGTGAGGTCACGCGAAAACGAGTCGATCAGAGACTTTGCATATAGGGTCGTCCCGGCATGATCAAGGTAGGTGGTATCTAGAGAAGCCGAGGGTGTCAATATATTGCTCTTTCTTGTGTGTAAGGCTAGCTGACTCCAATAGTCGAACCTTTCAGCAAAGGGTATTCGCGCTCCCGAATGACATCAATGTCTTCCGGATAGCTTCGACTGTATTCAAACCCTACTTCTTTTGTTCCATGGTCACCCATCTTGCCCAACAGTCTGCAGCAGCGTGAGCAGCATCAGAGCTTAAAAACGATTGTTTGTGGAGTATACAGTCGAGGTGGGCATCGCCGTGGAGAATCGAGATCGGGGTGGCGACCGGTTGTTCTTGCACGCTCACACATACAATGATCGGGAGGGAGCTTGCGTGATGACCAAGTAAGGAAAGATTCAAAATAAAGAAGAGTTAGATCATGGCGAAATATGTAGTCACACGTAGTTATCGAGCAAGACAAGACGGGATGATGGTGTCAGGAACAAACGCCTAACTAATACTTTATTTCAATGACTTGGGCCGATAAGGCTGGTTATCGGAGCTTACCGAAGTTGAGCTCCAACGGTTCGCCACCGACAATTATTCAACCCCCGGCAGCAGGAACATCCGAAAAGTCAGAAGAATGTTCCTAAGGGAATAGCGGGGAACTGTTAGGCGACCGAAAATTAGAAGTTGAGCAGAAATCTGTGTGACAGTGCGAAATGTTATACTTTGTTTTTAAGGCACCAGGGCGGAGGAGAAGTCAAACTCCCCCACTCCTGCTTTCTTATCGAGCGCGGGGAGCGGCGGCCAGATCCGATGATCCTGGCTTGCATCATTCTTCTTCAGGACTAGATGATTTCCTCAAAAGTGGAGGCCTCAATACAAGGCACAATGTACGGTGTAGATATTCATTAAAAAACCAAATCGTATGACACATAGAACAGCCGTACGAAGCATTAACATCCCCAGGGCTGCAATCGAGCACAAATCATGCGGTATATCTTTCAGAGAGAAGCACAGTCAAAGTATGTGCTTGAGCTGGTAGGTAGATGCAACAATAGTATCAAAGGAAACAGTGTCTCGTAAGTCGTGAGCGCGATCGCATCTCTTCATGGGCCTAACTCCTAAACCGGCCCTCTGTGCATCATCAATAATTTCCATCATGAACCATATACCATTCCATCGTAGTCCGTAAAGTCGTAAATAGAGAAATCAATCCTAGACTTCATAGTGATGTCGGCTGCGTGAGCTGCTATGGCGCCTATGACCGCGTCGACTGCTGTGACTGCGGCGCCGCACAGTCGTCTCCTTGACAATCGTGTCCGGTCGGCGGTAGATCATCATCGCCAGTATCGCCGTCCAGAAAAATAGGATCACCTCGATTATCCCCAATGCAAAGCAAGCTTTGAGCATCGCGCATGTTTTGTTGATGTGGAATGACAGCGGATTGTCCGAGGTGTAGCCATAGTATCCGAAGGGACCAAGCGAAATGTACACTGAGCCTCCATTCCAGTGCGCACAGTCGGCATTCGTGATGAATCGCAGCTCGTAGACCCCTGCGATAAATGCGCCGAAGAATAGTAGATCCACGAAAGCGACGAACATCGCTGAACGTCGAGTGGTTGAAATACGAATCATGGTATCGATACACCAGAAAGCCGCAATGACGCTGACAATGAAAATGACCAGGATATAGGCCGGGGTAATCATGTTTGCGTTCAGATAGCCGTTGACAAAGTAGGCCTATCGTGCGGATGTCAGTTGCAATACTCGGGAGGGCTCAATTCTAGCTGTGGAATGTGCCTACCATCATTCCGATGATCGGAATTAGAAGAATAAGCTCTAAGAGCCGATTGAGGATGAAGAAGAGACTGCCAATCATCTTGCCTGTTGTTATTCGCACAATGCGAGCGAATCAATTCGACTTAACAGTTGCTGAATTGGCTGCGAGAAGGTCTATCGAAATTCAAGATGGCTGCAAGATCAGATAAAACAAACGGGCTGGCGAACAGCTACAACGTCATCATACACTCAGTGAAGAATGGCGATGGACGGGGAGGGCGATAGGAATGAAAATGAGACCAAGGCTGGACGGAACAAGGTACAACCAGGCTCTGACGTTGCGCCGGACGACGTATAGCGAGTAGTGAGGGGATCGGTTAGGTGCCGATCTAAATGCAACTCGATTTTTTGGAAACGCACGAGAGAGAAACCCACACGCAGTTAGATAAAAGAGAAGCAAGGGTGCAGATGATGCATCCCAGAAGACAGAACTCAACAGGAGAAAACTGGTAGTTGGGAAGAAAAGAATGGGTCGGTCGGAGGAAGAATATGCACGTCGGAGAAAGGAAGAGGGGAGGCTGGGCGACTGAGGACGCGGGGTGGCTGGGAGAACAGTCGATGAAGGTCGTTACAAGGGCGGCTCGCTGCGTCTCACCATAGCCTGACTATGATGACATTGAAGCGGTTGACCTTCCAATTAAGCCGTACGTAGATATAGACTAAGTTAGTTCAAGGGTAACGGTACCTTATTTGTTGTTGGTCCATGAGCATCATGGCATTGTTATGATTGTTTACTGTAGCAACAATAACAAGACCCGGTCATCGGTGGGGCCGCCACGAGGGGAAGAAAGAAAGTCTAGAGCCAGCCGTCAATGATCATCAGGGACAACCTCAATTACTCGATCGATTATCATGGAGTAAGTATCCGAGGCGAAGAGAGAGTCAGTCGGCGTCAGCGAGGTAATCATGACTTTCTAGAAAACAGATAGTGTAGCAAAGTATGTACATTGTGTACAGTTTGTACAACCTGTACAGTACATGCCGCAAATACTGCGCTGTGATCACCGCCAGCGGTTTCATCATTGATCCACTCATTACGGAGTAAATCCTCATAAAAAGCCCACTTACCGCCCGCAAATCCATGGTCGTAAGTAGACCATAGAACTTCTGGCCATTCGGAACGAATGTTGTGGTCTCTGTCATTTCCCCGCCTGTTGTTTGAACTCAATAATATACCCTCCGTGACTGATAGCCACACTTTTCCCGGAAAAAGAAGAAAGAAGACAAGACAAAGAGAGAAAAATAAGCCAAGATCATCATCACAGTATGAGCCCGAAAATGTTCCATGCAAGTGTACTGGTATATGTTCTATAAATGGCAACATAATGAATCCCCCTCGCATTGAGGCGACCGGGGTAGCCCCGTCCGGTGCCTTATACTTCCCGCGAATGCAGCTCAGTCAGATCCCGCCCTCGATCAAGCTGAGCAGTCATCACTCGTGTGGGTGCATGGAGAGCTGTGACCGCCTGTGGTCGTTGCGAGTCATACGTTGTGTCGACCTCGTATTGTGGAATCGATCCATTCAGTCCTGGGTTGCGTGCTCGAGCATACCCAGACTGCATCTCATAGCCATTTGCGTGAACGTCCTCGCTAGATGAGGACCAATTCCCGTCCTCATCCTGTGATCGACGAGTGTACATATTTGTAGCGTAGGGATTGGATGTGGGGATATAAGCCGCGCCATTGTCTGCACCGACCATCGGCTTTGCCTGGCTGTCTTCTGCCGGGTGACGGAGCGCGGCAGTACTATCTTCGAATCTCACCATGTTCAATGGATTCGATGGGGGTAGCGGCTCGGTCCCCCAGCTGCGGATAGGATGCGCGCGACCTTTCTTCCAAGGCTGCGAAAGAGGTGGGAAATACTGATGATAGGAGATAACGGCGCAGAGGATCCCGAGAAGCGATCCAGTGATGACGTCGAAGGGGTGGTGTCTCGCATCCATAATCCGACTCACCGCAACGAGAGTAGCACCCAGGCTCGGTATCATGACCAAGAGTGCTTTCCAGACCTCACCTTTGTTGTCCATTATATGCAGTTTGCCACTCATCCAGAGCGTCAGGTAGAACAAACCAGCAAACGACGCTGTAATGTAGGTCGAGTCAGGAATCAGTTCCAATCATTTGGCATTGCAGAGACAATCTTACAGCTACTGTGGCCTGTTCTTGTAAGTCAGCATACGATCAGTTTCAAAGTGTTTGCAGCATTGTCGAACCTGATGGCCATGAACGGAAGCCGTCTTTGATGAGCGCATGTTCGCCCGTGCAGATGGTAGAGTTAGACAAGCCTGGGATTGCATCCTGGCTTCCTGCGCGAGGCTGGCACCGATCAATGAAATCCGGCCGAGGCTTGCCACAGGCGTTCTTCAATGCTTGCGTGATGACGAACGTCAGCCCCTGAGAGAGCAGGAGCCCCAGTATTCCACAGTTAAACTCCCATAGTCGATCCTTCCACCGATACGGGCCTGAAAATTTCCGTTTGCCGGATACTGGATCCCTTGGTTTGTTGTGGGAAAAGAGACCATCTATAAGAAGGGTATAGACGGCAATGATGACTAGAGGCGCCACTCCAGAGATACAGAGAGCTTCCTGTATCGTGATACGCTCGTGAACAGCATATGGATACTGGATGGAGATATTTCGTAGCGAGAAATGTTGGTGGTAGGGTTCAATGGAGTCGAGAGCATAGAACCCTGCAATACAGACACTGGTACAGTCTTGTTAGCAGGAATTCCTGGCGGTCAGTTCATGATGTGGACAAACACGAGTATAACATAGTCCGCGATGTATCTGGAGCGAGACGAAAGCGTTAGCCATTCCTTTGGGGTTTGGGGATGAAGTAAGTAGGCAAAGCAAGCCTCCGTCTGGACTTACGAAAGCACAACCCGCGGTCTCAGGCGCTGCTTGGAAAAGAGCAGCTTGTCGGGCAGGCGATTCATCATGCAATGAACGCAGCGCCTAGCGATATTCAAAATTCCAGAATCAAAGCAGATAATCAAGAAACAAAGCTATGTCTAGCAAGTAATTTGTTGACACTGTTGTTGAAAAATTACGTCTGATGGCTGTGGTGTAGGGAAATCGAGCACGTGAGGGGATCGATCAATCAGCTAGGTTGCTGCCATTCGAAACACCAATCAACAAAGGAAGAGGAGTCCAATTGAAAGAAAACCCAAATGCTACCAAACGTTTGTCTACAATAGGCAGTGGACGAAACGTACGAAGTACAGAAGATGAAAGGGAGAGATAATTGAGAGAAGAAGTCAAGAAATCTGAAAAACGTTTGCTTTATTGCAGGCCCGCGGGTGGGCGAACTTAAATGGTTGGGGGCATCGCCGCACGATCAGCGTGAATGAAGCCTTGGTCTCTTGGTATCAGCGGCTGAGTATAAATACAGGTAGTTTGGGAGGGGCCAACTGGTAAGTGGTAAGTGGTACGGAGTAAGTTACGGAGGATTGACCGCCCCAAGGACAACCGCCTACAGCCTCCACCCCCGCAATGTTTGACAAGCCGCTCAGCCACTTCTGCACGTACTGTACACGCCATAGGGCTGCTGGATGCCGGTTGCAAATTTCAGAGAAATAATAATAGGTATCTTGGAGCTGTCACAACGAGTCCCCAAATCATCAAAACACACACTCGATTCCTTAGTAAGACTGCATACATATCATTAGATTAAGTATATTTACTTTGTTCCTATTTAACTCCTCTGAAAACGAGCCATCACTTAGTGATACGGGTATCATATCTTAAGAAGAAGTCCAACCCTTGGTTCGAACACTAGTTGCGTGCATTAGACTATACCGTCCAGGAAAAAATAATGAGTTGGTATCCGGCGGGATCTGGAACCCACATACAGAAATTACCAACCCTGAAATGATGCTGCCTAAAGTCTTGTCTTTCTTAGGACTCCACCCGGAGACCAGCTCATCGTACTAGCTAACCACGAGTCCAGAATAACTGCAAAGATTCCTCACTGGCAGTCATGAACCGAATGACATTCGATATTGTACATTATCACTAAAAACTACCTTGGCTGGCCGTAAGACAGCCACTCATTCAGAAACCTCTTATAACCGTCTGACCATCATTGCCGGCTCTCATCTGTGTGCCATAGCCAAAGAAAATAATCATATTGCCAGAACTAGAAGGGAATATTCAGTATAAATTAAGAAACAAAAAGGAGTAAAGTATGGGTCCAGGATTCATGTTCGCGTTTTGTCCGAAGGATAACCCGTCGAGAGAAAACCAAGTTAACAGACGGTGATAAACAGACCGAGACTATGGCTTATGGTTAGCTCAAGGTCTCTCAATAGACGTTCATCAGAGTATACTCACGGAGATGGGTTATAGTCCTCGAAGAAGTTGAGGTAGGTGTTGCCGGTTCCCTTCATTTCATAACCCACGGTTTGACCAGCCGGGCACGAGAAAGAGGCAACCAGGTAGGAATTTCCGGGTGAAATGGTGATTTCTCCATAGTCCTGTTTGACCGACGGAGCGGTGTTATAAGTGGTCTTCAATCCAGCAGCAGAGGTCAGCTGAGAAAAGTCAACCTTGCCGTCACCACTGAAGGTGTAATCAGAGGTCTCAAGGTCCTCCTTGTTAGGGAACAAGAAGATGAGGCTGCATGTCTTGCCGGAGTCAGAAGATGGGATATCAAAATTGAAGATGGTCGACACTGTGGACGAAACGGTGCCGAAGAGCTGAGAGCCATAGGCGGTATCAGGGGTGGAGGAGTTGACAGGAACAATGAGATGAGGATACTCATAGTCACCAGACAGATCAGTCGGGCAGCTGGCAGCGCCTGACCGAGTAGCGGAAGCTGATGGTTGAGTGCTCGCAGGCTGGGTTCCGGTGGATTTAGTACCGGCAGGCTGAGTAACAGCGGGCGAAGTACCAGCGGGCGAAGTGCCTGCAGGTTGAGTTCCACCAGGTGCACTTCCAGCGGGCGGAGTACCGGCGGGCGAAGTGCCTGCAGGTTGAGTCCCACTAGGTGCAGTTCCGGCGGGCGGAGTTCCACTAGGTGCAGTGCCGGCGGGCGTAGTGCCGGCGGGCTGAGTTCCAGCGGGCTGAGTGCCTGCAGGTTGAGTCCCACTAGGTGCAGTCCCGGCGGGCGGAGTGCCGGCGGGCTGGGTTCCACCAGGTGCAGTGCCGGCGGGCTGGGTTCCACCAGGTGCAGTTCCGCCGGGCTGAGTTCCAGCGGGTTGAGTTCCAGCGGGCTGAGTTCCAGCGGGCTGAGTACCAGCTGGTTGAGTGCCGGCAGGCTGAGTTCCACCGGGCTGAGTAGTATGAGGGACACCTGGAACACTAGTTCCAGGAATTGGGATCGGAACAGGAACAGGCTGGGTACCAGCAGGTTGAGTCACGCCAGGCTGACCGGGCCGAGTGCTAGCGGGTTGGGTGCCGGCGGGTTGGGTTCCACCAGGTGCAGTTCCGCCGGGCTGAGTCCCAGCGGGTTGAGTTCCAGCGGGCTGGGTGCCGCCAGCGGGCTGGGTGCCAGCTGGCTGAGTTCCTGCTGGCTGAGTTCCTGCAGGCTGAGTTTCGGCGGGCTGGGTGCCGGCGGGCAGGGTGCCAGCGGGTTGAGTACCGCCAGCGGGCTGAGTGCCAGCGGGCTGAGTTCCTGCGGGTTGAGTGCCGGCAGGTTGTGTGCCGGCAGGTTGTGTACCCTGAGGAACGCCAGGAACACTAGAACCAGGAATTGGAATCGGCACAGGAACACCAGAAGTTCCTGCTGCGCAATTGGATTGGATCACGGTAGTGGTGACGGTAACTGTCTGAGCTGAGGCACATCCAGTGCCAGGCACTGGTGCACTGGAGACAGGTCCACCCGGTATGGAAGCAGAAGATTGACCTGGGGAAACTCCGCCAGGCACGGGTGCACTTGAAGCAGCGCCACCCGGAATGTAGGAAGATGATTGACCTGGAAGAACAGAGCCAGGTTTGCCAGACTGGCCGGGCACCTGAACCGATGACACTGCCGTAGCTGTGCCGCCGCCGCCACCAGCACCAGCACCGGAACCCGAGCAAGAGTCGGCGGCCAGCGTGATGCTCGAGCAACCAGTCACCGCGGAGCTCTCAGTGGTGTAGATGTTCAATTCACCGTTGTCACCCGTCTGGCATGCCACAAATGTAGAGTCGCCCTGGTACTCCAGCTGACCGCCGGACGAAATTGAGAAGCCAGTCTGGGCGGTAGAACCCAATTCACACTGGAACTGGGTCACAGAACCTGTCGACGTACAACTGATTAGCATTGTTTCTCGCTTTAGCATCGTCCGATTTCAAGACTTACTGGTCACGACACAACCACGTCCGCTGCTGTCAGTAATCGCACCGTTCGAATCGATGCAGAACGAGGCTGCAGAAAGACCACCACCGAGGCGATTCTGGCCATCACCAAGTTGGCCTACCGTGCCAGATGCGGCGCCCGAAGCAGTCAGGTGGAAGCAACATGAGTCGGCGCGGCTGACGAGGGCATTTCCTCCAGCAGCGAAAGCTGCGAGAGTTGCAAAGTTCTTCATCCTTGTACTAGCGAGCTTGGTCGGCAGCTAGGGGGTGAATGGACTGGACGGCTTCCAGTATGGTGCAAGGTCGTTGTTATGACAAGAACTCAAAAGCAACGTTCAGGGCATGTGCAATTCTTTATAAGAGATAGTGGACACAACCAGGAACGTCATACTATCTGTTCCGACACAACAAACAGGTCCCAGGGAACACGATCAAGTACCTCCACATGTAGATCGAGAGCATTGAAATAGACCGCAGCTAATTGCAATGACTCTGCAGGGTCGACGATACCATGGGCCCGATGAAGGGCCACCATGGGCCCAGCCAGACATGGCCGACGAGCGAACAGGCAGTCAGCGAATTGGCCGGCAGTCTCGGGTCTGGACACTGTCGTGGGTCGGCAAGAGCACTAGAGTAAACGTCATAAAGTCCTGAGTATTGTGGATATGAGAACCCTTGTGAGTGGCTCTTGTTTGGTAAGTAAGGCAGTACTGCAAAAAGGCAGCCGAATTAGTGGCCGGGGTATCTCAGGGCTTCTTCAAGCTCGGTGGAGCCGGCCCCATCAAGCGGTGCCTTTGGATCGGCCAGATACCCTGCCTTGATCGATGAGCTCCCGATTGATGGGGGTGTGCAGCGGGTCAATTGCGACTCTGTGGCAAAATAACATACCATCCACGGGTTTTGTCCGCCGTTCAGCGACCCATAGCAGGATCCATATCTGCCTCGCATCAGGAACTGGACATTGGCGTTCCCAGGAACGTGTTGTTTCTATTCATATTCACCCACTTGACAGGCAAGCAGAAACCCACCATCACGGAGCATATAGTGGGATACGCTTTGTGTGTATGGAGTATAGTCAAAGTACGATACGCGCAAGAACAAGCAAGTCCGCGTAATGGAAGAGTGCCTTCCGATCAATGCCATATGGCAAGTGGACGACGGCAATGTCGGATTCCTCTTCGAAGACGTATTGCATCATTCCTTCCGTGTACAGGCCGTGTTTGGGATGAGTCTCTTCCACCATGGTGTGCGGAGTAGTGCGATGACCAACAATTCGGCTGGACAGGAGGTTTCCGTCAGAGACATCAACAGCCTAGGATAGGCGAGATTCCCACCCGTCTGCATGTCATCATGGGATAGTTGAATGTGATTGCAGCATCAGAATTCCGGTATGGAGGGGGTGCGGGGTGTGTGGGTGTGTGGGAGGGTGTGGATGATATGGATGAGATGAATTGGGGAGAAGAAAGAGTTTCAATCCAGTTGAGTTCGCTTCATCTGAAACAGACAGGAAAGCCAAAGTGACGGAGACACCGGAACTCATTCGGTGGAGTGGGAGGAGTGGGAGGAGTGGGACTCTCAGCAGGGGAAAAACAGGGGATGCAGCCACTCATCGGCCAGCCACATCAGTCATTCTTCTGCAAGTGGGCCATGACGAAAGCCACAGCCAACGGCATTGCTTCTGGTTGGATTGTTTTGATGGGGATGTGCATTGCATTCATCATCGCCATCATCCAAGACTATTTTTATTTCTCAACTGCTCATCTAATGACAATCGCTAAGAATGATCTCAATGCCCTTGTTCAATGCCCTTGTTCCATTCCATATTTCTCTGTTTTCTAGGTAAAGGCTATGTCGATCGACTTACCACGTCATTCGCAATTGTGTGTATGGCGGTGGTTGTCTGCGCCCTACAAGCTCACAGCACAGTCTGAGCGAGATGCATTGTAGAAAAAAGAGCAATTGAGGGTCATGTACAGTACACAGACCATACAGCCCTGTGCGTCTGGGCTCCATAAGGTTTAGCCTAATGTTGAATGGTGGATGTATAGCTTCAGTTCTTAATTCCGCCTTGAGCTTTTTATGCATAACGTCGCATACTATTGTTTTGCAGACCATTATATGAAGATGATAATACATATATTCGAGACCTGGCAGAGTCCTCACATGCTCCTCTAGTGAAGCTACTTAACTACCTACAAATTAACTCTGATTCCCAGTTGACTGACACAAGTAGTACTTAGATTGTCTCTACATCTACACATGGAGTTGGACATCCAAAGCAGTACAAATGGTTGTCTTAGATGGTCTTCTTTTCCTACTGAATATAGATTTCACTTAGTTTTTTTTTTTTTTTTTTTTTTTTTTTTTTTTTTTTTCTATTGAAGCCCAAAGTGATTTAGCATGGACGTATAGCACTTCGTACTGTACATACACTGAGAATCTCAGCTCTTCCCCGCGCACAGGGACCGTTACGTATGCTTCTGCCATCATGACCCCCTAGTTCAAGTTAGGTCCTTCCCATTTCATCCATCATCCCACTAGATGGTAATCTGGACAGCCGAAATGGTACAAATTCGCAGATTCCTGCCGGCAGGTCTCGGGTTTTCAAACTGGATTTTGACCAGCCATTCTAGCCTTTGGAGTCAAGAATACCGGACCCACACTATCCAGGACTCTCAAGTGCCAGAAGGGAAGGGAAACTTCCATCGGCTTATTTAAAAAAATACACAAAAAAAAAGAAGTATCACATCCGATCCACCCACATCTTTGAACCTGTCCGCTCGAGAATTGACAGCCGTCACTGATTCCCAAGCCAGTCTTCCCCTCTCCATGGACCGTGGATAGACCATGCGCTGCATAGTTCTCTCCCCTACTACAAGATTCTGTCAAGCGCATAAACATGGCGAGCTGGACGAGAAACATTGCATACGAGTAGCATGTTGGGGAAACGCAATTGTGCTGTACTCATACGAGCCAATTCCCTTCCCCTCCCTCAGCATGTCTTACATGCATGGTCCACTTGTCAATGGCTCGTCATAACAAGACAAGTATCCATACTCGTACTCAGTAACTCACGCTGATCGGTTGACTGTACCTGCCTGGAGAGACTATGGGTTGCCAATTGCTTCGTCGATTGGATGGAACAATGGGCGGGGAGTGCCATCAATCCATGGATAAACAACACTGACGTCGACGCCAGTTGCAGATCACTTCCACTAAGACATGTATTTCCCGCACTGTAGGAATCAGTATTGCAGGAAGGCGTACGCAAGCGATTCTCCACCTACATGCAGGGAATCATGAACTTGTCGTTCTCGCTTGACTTACAGATATCAAAGACTAATTGAGAGGTGAGGTTGCCCAACCTAGGTCAATTGCATGGAGCTTCCTACGGCAACAAAACTATGTTATGTGGCATTGGCTGGATTTCAGCGAAACAGGTGCCGTCATCTGCTTGTTCAGATTGTTGGATGAGGATGAATAAATCGAGCAAGAAGGTTCGAAGGCGTTGAGTCATGACCGCTGATGCACGAGATAGAGTAGCATTTTCTACGTAGATGCCGTCTCCAGGGTCGGGTTCTGGGATAATCGAAGGGATGTTGAGGGTGAAACGTAACCGTATAACCATCTCTTACTGTCTGTAAGTACTCCGTAGAGCCCAATACATCCAATAATGGAAATGCAGTCAGAGAGCCCTTGGTCCTTGATCTTGGACGTTCAGCGTTATGAGCATACCACGAGGTACTGTATGCTCAGTCATGAAGCTGAAGTCCAGTATCTACAGAGAAATTCCTCAATGCAGTATATCAATGTGAGAAAAAATGAATATATTTTCCCAATCACCATGCAATATACATAATGGGTATCTGACTTCCAATTGCAATGATTTTTTTATTGGCCTACCTCATGCGCGCGGCCTTGAACTTACTCACACGCCTAGGAGCCTCTTCTGTTTCGAGAGGGACAATTTCGGGCTCTTCGTCAACGAATCCGCCTTGTTCCTTGATCATGCGGTTGCGGATTTGGTAAAATTCAGTAGCAATCTCCTTCCGATGCAGTTGTTCATCGAGCTCGGCTGGTTCCGGTGCCACGGCGGACGTCTGCGAAACCTCACGTTCAACAAGGGTATCTGCCAGAGTTTTGCCTTCTGGGCCTCTGGGTGCGGGGTCTTCCTCGGGATCAGCTGAGATTGGCTGGGAGAAGGGTTTAGGCTCCGCTGGCCTGGCAGGGAAAAGAGGCAGAGAGGATGGCGCGGGAGAGGGGGTGCCAGTCTTGCGTAAAGACGAGCGAAGTTCGACGGGCCGGGAAGGGCCAGCTGAAGTCTCTGACGCAGTGGCTGGGTTGACTGCGCTGTCGTCCGTTCTCCGGGCGCTCTTGAACCGAGAGACTTTCTTCGGTGCGTCTTTAGTTACTGGCTCCTTTGCAACAGGCTCTGTACGTTCAACCACGGAATCTGCAAGAACAGGTACACTAGATTCACGAACTGGGACAACCTTCTTATCCTGGGTCGGAGGCTTCGGGGCCGGAGCAATGTCGAGGTCGTCAGCAAAGGCAACCTTCTTTTTCGGCTTCTTCTCGAGCACAGGTCCGGTGCCTGTCTCGGTGGTCTTCTCAACACGAACCACACTGGGCTGCTCCAACTCCGCTTTGACATCAGTTGGGAGAGAGTCGGTGTTCTTGCCAATGTTCCACAATCCTCGCGCGTTCAGCTTGGCTTCCAACTCTCGCATTTCGCGGTGGTAATCCTCATCAAGAACACGTGTCGTAGTTCTCCCATATTCGTCTTCCTCCTCTTCGTCATCGTCGTAAGGGTAATCATCATATTCTTCGTCCACAGAAACGTCGCTTGCATCCTCGTCAAGTTCCAATTCGGCCACGACCGCTCCAACTTCATTCAGGCTATACTGTAGCATATCGCGCCGTAACTGGGCATCCTCTGGCGATTCCTCAATGCTTGCTGCAAGACGTTGGTACTCTAGGAGACCAGCTGCATCCATTGAGGGAGGCTTAGGGTTGTTCTCGGGAGTAGTCGCTTCTGGCATTTCCTCCTCCTCAATAGCCTGGGGATTTACCTCCTCCACCTCGATTGCAGTCGGAACTTCTTCCGTAGCGGGTGCTTCCGTAGTCCTTGCAGCATGCTGCGACGAGTCTTGATGTGCCGTATTCACATTCGCCGTGTCCGGTATATCGCTGATACCGGCTTTTTGCAAGATATTCAAAAGCTCAGAAGCCTGGCTGCCCGGCGTGTTTGTTGTGCTCGAGACGATATTACCGTTTTCGTCAAGTTCTTCAAAAATCTCAGTCATCGGAAATTCGGCCGTACTATCACTCGGTAGTTGCTCCTGTGAGTCCAGCGCATACAATTCGTTCTCTGCGGCGCGTAGTCTTTTCTCCATTGTCGCAACATTTTGTTTGACATAGTCAATGCGTCTGTTAATCAAATTGACCACCTGTCCTTTGGTGCGCGTCACGCCTTCTTTCTGGCCCAGTATCACCTTCACTTCTTCCTCAGTGACCAGCGATCCGCCGAGGCTGTGGCCCACGCTAAGGAAGTCTTCGCGATCCGCATCTTCAGGTAGATCATTTATCTCCTCTTTGAGGCCGTCGTACTCTGCCTCCCAGGTGCGCCAGTGGTAGAGTGAGTCCTGGAGTTTCAGGATATTGCCTTCGAGTTCTAGGCGCTGGCGCTCGAGTTCGTGTAGCTGGCTGTCGGGTACACCCATGATTATGTTCATAAAATCGAGTCTCGAGAATCTACCGAACGAGTGACTTGGACTGAGGTTCAGGATAAGTTGTCTTTTACCTGAATAAGGAAAGTTTGTGTGAATCAAGGTCAAAGACCAAAGGTGGACGGAGAGAGGAGTTGGAGGCGGCGGCGGCAAAGAAAAAAGTTCCGCCGCGGAACAATGGGCGGAATGCCTGATTGGCCCGTGCGGGCAGTTGGATTAATCACCCGTCATTTAGGCTTCATTGCTGCGACACCTGCGGTCTGTTCAACACTTACTCTGCTCCGCCTTGGGTCTTAATCAGATCTGCGAGCTGTCAACTATGCCTTCTGCCCGGGAAGCTATGGCCAACCGCGGGGATGATGACGGTATGGTTGTTTGCCCTGCATCGGAACCCCCCTTCAACTTGTGCTAACCAGCTCTCTTTAGAGGTGTGCCCTGTCTGCAAATCCTCGCGGTACTTGAACCCGGATATGCAGTTCCTTATCAATCCGGAATGTTATCACAAAATGTGCGAATCGTGTGTGGATCGCATATTCTCGTCAGGCCCGGCAAACTGCCCCGTCGCGGGTTGCCACAAGACGCTGCGAAAGGCTCGGTTTCGGAAGCAAACGTTCGAGGATATCAACGTGGAACGAGAGGTGGACATCCGGCGCAGAGTGATGCAAATGTATGTCGTCAAGCCATCTTCCCGGTGACCTCGCAGGATACTGATACTGTCCGCAGTCTCAACCGCCGTGAAGAGGAGTTCGACTCCAAACGAGCCTGGGACGACTTCCTCGAACAACGTGAGGAGATCATCGCAAATCTCGTACACGGCACCGATGTGGCCAAGACCGAAAGTGACCTTCAGAAGTATGCTTCAGAGAACATGCGCTCGATCCGCGCCAACCAAGCCCTCGAAGCGCAGGAAGCCTCGTCTCTCAAGGAGCAGCAGACACATGAGCAGGAACTGGCCCGTCTTCGCCGAGAAGCCGCTAAGCAAGAATACGAGAACGAACGGCGGGAGCTACAGGCCTCTCGGGAGGATGTTCTCACTCGTCTCGCAGCCGGGCGACCTGGCGACGCTGCGGCTATTGCGCGCGAAGGCAAGAAGGTGTTGCTCAAGAAATCATCTGCTCGGCGAAGTGAGGAGGACCGGATCCGACAGAAACAGGCTGCTCTCCGGAATTCGGATGCTAGGAAAGCTGGTCAGGGAGGACTCACGGCTGATAAGGCCGACATTGCTGGCGATTCGGGCTTGATCAAGGGTCTCAAGAAGATCGTGACTCCGGAACCCGAAAAGCCTTACGACCCATTTGGTGGCATGGTTCCCAACAAGCGCGACTATTATACTTTGCGCGATTTCTATCCGTCAAGCTATCTTGACCCTATCCGACAGGACACTCGTATGCAGGCAGGCGGGTACGATCTGCAGGAGTACTACTCTCGTACATTGATGGAAGCTTTCGCCGGCTTGGGCTGCTTTATCGATGAGGAGGTGGCACAACGTGACGATGCAGGGTCTCTTGGGGTCTCCAGACCTGCCGCCACTCAAGGGGCTGCCCAGGCGGCAGTTTCAAGTACGGGTACTCCAGAAGCCAGCTGACTGGCGTTATACATAGACTGTTGAGCCCGCTGAAGAAAGTGTTCCCTGCTGTCATTTCTGCGCTTCTACTTCGCAGCGAAGGTAGCCTCACCTGGGTTGTTGTATATAATGCATAGCGATGGCGTTTTGAGGGATTTGGGTGTTCCATTGGGGTATAGAAATGACGGTCGTGATAATGGATATGATTGATCTAGGTATACAAAAAAGGCAAAGCTAACACAAACTCAGAAGACACTATTTAACAAGGTCAAGAACATCGACTTGTAGTACATGGAACGTAATGTACAAGGCTCGCCACGAGCACACCTATTTAGAACTTGCCGCCGGTAATCTCCTCTGCAAGCTTCTTGATTCTGCCCTGAATGGCGTCCCAGCGAGCAGCTTCGCTCCTGCTAGTCTCGTGGACAAGGCTGGAGACAGATTGGGGGTGGCCCAGGTTCCAGATGTTGTCACCCGCCTGGTGGTCGTTGCGCCAGGCCTCATTTTCGCCCTCGGGGAAGACCTTCTCAATTTCGGCTGCGAGCTGTTCCTCGGTAGTGATGAATTGCCGTGCGTTCACGTACAGATCGTGCAGGTTGCTTTGGCGCTCGGCAATCTTAAGTCTTTCTTTCTCCTCAAGTTGAAGCCGAGAAGAGCGCAGACGAGATTCTCGACCAGGATCCGGCAGCACCTGCATGCGTTGGGGCAACATGGCTTGGACTACCGACGTCTGAGTCAGCCTCACGTCCTTCCTCGCACGCTGTCCCATGATCATCTCCCGGTATCGCTGCTTTTGCTCGCTTTGCTGCTTCATGGCTTCGTCAGTAGCCTGCTTGCGGGCGTGCAGCTCCAAAAGACCCTCCTTGAGATTCTTCCTCCGCATATTAGCCATCTTCCTCTGGTGTTCGCGGTACTCATAGTCCGGGTGGTTTGGGTTGAGCGAAATCTTCTTGGGAAGAGGCGTAGCGGCGTGAATGTACGCCTCCGTCGGCTTGTCCGTGCGGCGGGCAGGAAAGATCTCACGGGGAACCGGAAGGGTACCCTTTACGCGGGGCTTAGAGCGTTGTTCGGGCTGAAGAACTCGAGGAACGTCGATGAAACTGGGAGACTCGGGTCCGACTCGCAACGAGACCGATGAAGCGAAGCCGCGGAACTGCACGGTGGCAGTTCTGCAATTGCGAAAGAGGGCCATGATAAAACAAGGTCGCTCAATTGTCTGGGGATGTTTGGACAATATCAAATTGGGGGGTATCGGGATGTATTTTGCAAAGGGACTCGATTAGAAGGAGGCCCACCGCAATCAACCGACAACCTGAACCGATACAGAGATCCTGAAAGGACTTATTGGCAAGCGCGGTTCTGCTGCGGAAGTTCGGACAGAACGAAACGATTTTCCTGATATTGGTCCGTGCACCGCTTAGCTTGCCGCGCGCCAATGGCAGAAAAAAAATAATTTTCCCGCGCTTGAAACTTTTTTCTTCTCTTTCTTTTTCTTTTCCTTCTTGCGCTCCGCCATTTTTTGTTTTACAACACTACTTTCTTGTGAACTTTTCTTTTCAAAACTTCTTGAGGTACTCTTGGGAGGTGTTTTTATCATGGGTACCGGAAAGAAGGAAGCCACTCGTAGAGAGCGGCAGGGGAAGACTGGGGATGGCATGGGAAATGTTCGCACCAAGGGTGAGAACTTCTACAGGTAAAATAATGGCGAAGATCCCTGCTACTGAATGCTGGACTAACATATCATGACAGAGATGCGAAGAAGGTGAAGCATCTGAACATGTTGAAGGATGGAAAGCCTCGACGTAACGCTGAGGGAAAGATCACTGTGGCTGCTTCATACCAATCTCGAGATGCTCCGGTCGCTAGAATCGAGCCCAACCGTAAATGGTTTGGCAACACGAGAGTGATATCTCAAGAGGCTCTGTCGTCTTTCCGCGAGGCGGTTGCCGAACGTGCTTCCGACCCCTATTCAGTCTTGCTCAAGACCAACAAGCTTCCCATGAGCCTAATCAGAGATGATAAGGGCGCCAATGGGTTGAAGCAGCACGAGGCCAAGATGGCCATTGAGAATTCTCCTTTCAGTGATACCTTTGGGCCCAAGGCGCAGAGGAAGCGCGTCAAGATGGGCGTTGCCTCTTTGGAGGACCTGGCCGGCGAAACCGTCAAGATGCACGACGCTTACGTCGAAAAGACAGACCATGCTACTCATGAAGATGGTACTTTGGTTGTCAACGGTGATGATGTTGCAAAGGATGACAACTCCGGTCTGGCAACCACCGCCGTTGAGTCAGTCTTCTCTAAGGGTCAGAGCAAACGTATCTGGAATGAGCTTTACAAGGTCATTGACTCATCCGATGTCGTACTTCATCTACTTGATGCTCGTGATCCCGATGGTACACGCTGCAGGAGTATTGAGAAGTACATCCGTGAAGAGGCTCCTCACAAGCACTTGATCTTCGTTCTGAACAAGTGTGACCTTGTTCCCACAGGTGTAGCGGTACGTCTACTTCTCTCTCGTGTTACTTTGTCCTTTCTACCCCTCGTTCTATCCTTTATGAAAATGGGTTTCGGCCCAATGCCATTGCTAAGTCAAGGCTTCTCCCTGCGACCTTGTGTCGTGTTTTTCTTCCTTGGGAGTATGTCTGTTACAGCTCTGGCAGATTGACGCTGATCCGCGCCGACCTTCATTCTGAAGCTAGGCTGACTGGTTTTCGTTTTGAATACCAGTCGTAAGGATCAAGCTGTGTTCTGTTTTTGAGTTGAGATCTGCTTCTACTCAATGAGTGGCCCATAGCAGTTCTCTTAGTAACATTTCACACATTTTCTTACCATGTCTTTCGTCCTTTTTTGCTTATTGCTGTTTACGCTATTGTCTTCATTGCAATACCGTTGGTGTTTACTTGCTAACGTGACACCAGGCCGCCTGGGTACGACACTTGTCGAAAGATTATCCTACTCTAGCTTTCCACGCCTCTATCACCAACTCTTTTGGTAAGGGTTCTTTGATTCAGCTTCTAAGGCAGTTCTCCTCCTTGCATTCCGATCGCAAGCAGATTTCTGTCGGTTTGATTGGGTATCCAAACACTGGAAAATCTTCCGTCATCAACACTTTGCGGAAGAAGAAAGTGTGTACTGTGGCCCCAATCCCTGGAGAGACCAAGGTCTGGCAGTACGTTACCTTGATGAAGCGGATCTACCTCATCGATTGTCCTGGTGTGGTACCAGCCAGCTCGAACGCCACTCCCGAAGATATCCTCCTTCGAGGTGTGGTTCGAGTGGAGAACGTAGAGAATCCCGAGCAGTACATCCCGGCCGTTCTCAAGCGAGTGCAGCCCAAACACTTGGAGCGTACATACGGCATCAAGAATGTCGAGGATCCTATCGAGTTCCTTAGTATCCTCGCTCGCAAGGGTGGTCGTTTGCTTCGTGGAGGAGAACCTGACCTCGATGGTGTCGCCAAGATGGTCATCAACGATTTCCTCCGAGGAAAGATTCCCTGGTTCACTCCCCCGCCTCACAATGCTGGTGGGGAGGATGAGGCGATCGAGGGCCGTGCTGGTCGGCTCGGAGAAATGAGTCGGAAGCGCAAGCTCGACGACACTACCTCCGAAAAGCCAGAGGACTCTAAGAAGGCGTCGAAAGAGAAGGCTCCTGAAACTGACAACGACGAATTTAAGGGTTTCGAGAGCGACGATGATGATGACTCGATCGCGAACCTTGAAATTAGCGATGAGGAAAGTGGCGAAGAAGACGATTAAGTGTTTTCATTGTCGAGATCCTTGTCAAAGACTGTCAATGAACCAAGTACTCCCGATGCCGTCTGTCATCTGGCATCAATCCCGAGAGGTACACCCCTGGTGGCGCATGTCGCTCCACAACTTCCAGGGCGTATCCCGAGGTCTTGTCACACCTTGACTTTGGGTGGAAGTTGAAAGCCACTTGCGTCGAAGCGTCCATGACGCGAACTCCTTTGAGAACCACAACACCGTCAGGCCTCTTGCGCCTAAGACTGGTTCCGTACGAAATCCGCTGGCATGCTACCTGGACTGTTCTTGGCCAGTGCACGTTATGCTTCAGCTCGGAGCATTGGTTGTCAGGCCGATCAATGCCTCAGCCAACTTGATGCCCATTATTTAAGATACCCACCGAGTGTTTTTACACGAAGACTTTCGAGAAATCCAAGCAATCAATAAATCAATCATCCTGAAACAAGGTGGTCTGATTCAAGAAAAGACTGGTTCTTCCCACAGTAATCCACCCGTAGACACTTTTCAATAGGGCAGATTCCTCACCGCCGACGGAGCTCACGTGGGGCTACCCCAGCCTCATTCGAGTGCCTCGTCTCCGTAGCAGCTGCCAGAAGATACCTTGCATTTCCTTAATATCATGACGCATTAATCTAGGCTATTTATTCGGCCTTTCATGTATTTGTGTGCCCTGTGGATATGCTACTCTCCCCGTGACAATGGAGGATGAGGGCATGTCCATTGTTCCTTATGGATCAGGCAATTTCGATGTTGTGCTGTAAGCCAGCTTTCTTCGTTCCCCCTTCTCTCCTAGTCGTTCAGAGAATAGAGATCCTAATGTGGGGGACTCTTGCTGCAGGCGACACAATGACTCGGTTGTGGTTTATGATCGCGACTCGCGGCAACTGGTTCTCCAAAACACCGCGGATCGGAGGGGCAGTGACCTCCATCTGACCGACTGTCCTTACTGCCATCGTCCTTTGCATGAAAATGGGTCACCCCAAGGTGATCATGAGAATAGCCCGGGCGCGCAGGCGGAATTCATCAATCCTGACTACTTTCGACTACTACATGCTAGCTTACCTGGCTCTACGGACTCGTCCAATCCCCCATCCCCTCGCCGCCGTCTCGTTCAGCCAGCTATCGCGGACGGTCCAACTAGTGATCCTAGCTATCCAGAGACCGGCGTCCATACCAGTCAGGGAATCTCGTCGGCGGCCTTTACACAGGATTACTTCAAGAAGTTCTTTGTCGAAGAGACGGTTCTGGGCAAAGGCGGCAAGGGGGTTGTTCTTCTGGTCAAACACGTACTGGACGGTGTCTCACTTGGTCATTATGCCTGTAAGCGAGTCCCTGTCGGAGATGACCATGAGTGGCTTGAGAAGGTATTAGGTGAGGTACAGCTTCTACAGCACCTTTCGCACCAGAATCTCGTCTCCTATCGACATGTGTGGCTGGAAAATGCAAAGATCACTACCTTTGGGCCCAGTGTGCCATGCGCGTTCATACTTCAGCAGTATTGCAACGCGGGGGACCTCCACAATTACATCTGCGGTGCAGTGCAGACTTCTACTACAAAACAGCAGCTCAAAGAGCGTCTGAGAAGAAGGTCAAGGGGTGGACTCGATCCTGAGAACGATCTTGGGGCGCTGCGAAAGCTCCAATTCGAGGAAATATATTCTTTCTTCAAAGATATTACTTCCGGAATCCGTTATCTCCATGCCAATGGCTACATCCACCGTGATCTCAAGCCTCATAACTGCTTGCTGCATAAGACCAGTGACGGGATCCGGGTCCTAGTCAGTGACTTTGGAGAGGTTCAGGCTCAAGATTCAATCCGAAGGTCGACTGGGGCGACAGGGACTGTTTCTTACTGCGCACCAGAAGTTTTACGACGAGAATACCCCGATGGTCCTTTCGGGAACTTCACCTTCAAGTCCGACATCTTCTCTTTGGGGATGATTCTGTACTTCCTCTGTTTTGCGCAACTTCCTTATAGCAATGCAGACTTGATCCACGAGGAGAAAGAAGACTTAGACCGACTTCGTGAAGAGATCAGTCAATGGTCGGGATTCGACTACGCTAGACGCATGAGACCCGAACTCCCCGAACAGCTCTACATATTCCTCCAGCGCTTGCTGTCCGTGGACCCTGATCGCCGACCTTCAGCAGAAGAAGTTCTTAATGGTCTCCAGGCCGGGGCTAATGTCAATGAAAACTTCCGCTTGAAGCGAGCCAGCCCGACCAGCCCAGATATGCGCCCCAGCTCCCGGATTCACCCGGTAGAAAGTCCGTCTGCTACATCCTATACTCGCCAGGCCCTGTCGCCGAATAGGACCGTCACGAGACCGCCGCCGTGTGTACGGCGGAGTTCTGCATACGATAGTACCAACACGGACGCTGCTAGAGCCGAATCTACATCCACCTCTCTTGGCCCGGAACGAAATCTCATTTTTCGCCCGCGTTTCTCGAGTACTCCCTCTTCCTCACTCACGCCTGCCCACCATCCTCCTGAGGAACATCGCCACGAAGTGGCCCCCCATGACAACTCTGACACAATCGAAGAGCCCCAGCAACAACACCTACTGCCACCGCCTCCCCCACGTCACTGGTTCTTACAAAGATATTTCCCGTTCCTCGAGCCTCTGACAACTTCCGTAACTAATTGGCAGCTTGGGATCACAATTTTTCAACTGGCCACGTTCCTTCTCAAGATACTCTCTATATTTCAACCCTGCAGCCCGTTGACTGTCAACCCCTGGGTCGTTTATCCCCTACTGTTAGTGGCGGCGGTCAACTTCCCAGCGACAAGCTTTGCCAGGCAGTTGGTCTCACTGATGTTGCATCTCGTGGTTGTAAGTCTATGTATGCAGATGGATGCGCTTTGTTGGAGAACGTACAGGCGGTAATCTCGTACCAACCCGAGGGCCTTTCTTCTGGGTTGATGCTCGTATCCGGAATGGAATGACACGGAGACCAGACTGCGAAAGTAAGAGGGGTGGCATCCGATGCCTCGGTGCATGGCTTCACATGGTATTTTGAAGATGCGCCTGTGGTTGACGAAATTATGTGCCCATGACCATTGAATGCATTGATAGACTGTTCAGGGTAGTCTCCGCAAATAATCTCCTTTTCTGCGAGCGAATCTCTCACCACTAGAGGCCGGGATCCATCGCAGTGGTATAGAACGTACGTCAGAAAGCATGACCTTCGTCGATAGGGACAATATACTAGGTGCTTTGTCCGGTCAGCTGAAGCTCTCCAGCTTTGATAGAGTTATGGCATGAAGCAGTAAGAAAAGGGGCTCAAGAAATTGAGCGGCTATTCAGAGGCAATGATAATACAAAAGAGTCAAGCTACAGTGCCGCCGCACTGGCTGGACTGAAGTACTGCGTACCTTTTCCAAGGGGTTCACAGTAGGAAAAGCTACTTCCGTTTCCGGAATCCTGGTAGTTTCCGAACAATTTCTAGTTAACCTCTAGTGGTTACAGCCATATACATCAATGAACTTGGAACCTACTGGATGACTTCAAGGTTATAAGACTGGAAGCCGATGTCCCATGCAGTGCAGCTACCCCGCTACGCGATGCTGTTCCCGTCTCATTGGTCATCTCGCATCATCCTCGCATGGCCCATCTGACCAGCTCTTGTATACGCACGGGTACATACACATTTATATAAAACAAAGCTGGTGGAAAGCTACTGAACCTGTCTATCCCGTTCGCCTTTTGTTTATTTCTCCCATGAGACCTGAGTTCCTATCCTCAACCACCTCTCCCCGCACTGACAATGTTCCCCCAGTCGGTTTTGGTCTTCTTTTTCCTCTTGTCCCTGCCTTTCTTGTTCAGTTGCCACGTCATCTGGGGACTTAACTGCTGGGTCCTTCGTCGGAACCACCTTGAGCGCACCAGGAGAGGCTTGTCGGTGCTTTGAGAGATCTCTTCACACGAAGAAGGCACAACCACGCCGCCGATATTTTGGATCTAATTGCATGCGACAACCTGATAGATGGACTGCCTCGTGTGCTGTCAGAACTTTACGAGCCGTTAGGCACTCGACTGTTGTGCTTCCTCTATACGAAGCTTGCCTTTGCGTACGACATGATATGCAACAGCCCTGAGACTTTGAGCATCGAGAGCTATTGTTGGGTCATCAGACAAGGATCGAGCGGTTAGGGCGCTTTCAAATAGAAGATTGCGGTGCTTGGGTGCTGGTTCTGAGAACCTTGAAGGAGAAAGGCATTTCCTCCGCGGAACCTAAGTGCTTGCATCAACTTGAGCTTGGCCAGTACCCGTGTGCTGTGCTCACCTCCTGCTTATACGCCGCGCAATCTTTCGCTGAACCATCCTCCAATGATCTGTTTTATGGGGTGGCAATGCTTCGAGCCTGGTCCCACACGTTCCTTCTATCTTCACAAGGCGATTTCGATTATGGAACTGTGGCTCAGTTAAAGGACCTTGCTTTGAGATTACTCTTGAATACATTGCACCTTCGGGGCAAAGAACTTGATTCATGTACACGTTCACGGCGTATTTATCTCTATCTTCATGTGCAACTTAGCTCGCTCAAACATCAGCGCATAGATCAACGGGCAATATCCGGCAACTTATAGCCTCGGCCGGATAGTCTGGCCGCCCTCCCAGGATTCTCCCGCCTCCAGCGTCTGCCACCCAGCGACGGAGCCGGCCTCGACACAGATCATGTTCTTGTAAGCCTCATCCGGTCCGAAGTCGGTCATTCCCTTGGCCTTCTCGATCCAGGGGTTCCACACCACAAGATCGGTCAAGGCTTCCCGGGTAATCGAGAACAAGGGCTTGTCATCCGAGACCGTGGTAACCTCGATCGGAACCTTCGGGTCAAGGGACTTGTACACCCGATCGGTCTCCTTATCGATCTCAACCGCAGAGGAGGCTTCCATCTGGACGGCGCCACCTTGGGTCTTGTCGACATACTCCTTGGACTGGAGGTTCTTGACGCGGACCTGCGAGATGTCCTATATGCCCTTATGTCAGTCTCTCCCCTCGCAAGATACTTGCACTAATCAGGGGGTTCGCTGTGTGAAAACGCACCTCAATGCTCAGATAAGTGTGCAGCAGAACCTGGAATTCGAAGTTCTGCTCGCCCTTGTTCTGCACCTGCAGGGAGGTTTCGAGACCCTCCTTGGTCAGGGTGACACTGTACACCAGACCAAACTGGTAAGGCCACGCCTTCTGGAACTCTTCGCTCAGCATAGGGTGCGACAGACCGAAGTCCAGCTTGACCGCATCATCGCCTTCCTTGCGGTCTTTTCCGAGGGACTCGGACGAGGACTTGCCCAGAAACTCCCAGTTCGAGTTCCGTGCGAAGCCGTGTTGCGGGAGGGAGGATGTAGCGTGATTCGAGGGGGGAGGACCGAAGACCTGCAGTGAGCCACAGCCGCGGCACTCGTTAGATAACGGTTGTTCTGTTTGGGGGATTGAAGGTCGCTGGGATAGAACTTACCGGGAAGACCACGGGGATACCGCCGCGGATGGGCTTGGAGCCATCCAGGTGAGCCTTTTCGCTGACGAACAATTGCTCCTTCCCATTGGCAAGCTTCCAGGATGTGACGGTCGCTCCATACAGGTGGACGGTGACTGACTCGCCGGTGGGCAGGGTGGCCTGGACCTTGTTGTCGTGGAAGTTAACGGTGGGCTGAGGGATGGAGACACCCACCCCGATGGCGGAGGGCTTGTTGGAACGATCCATCTTCGTAGAGGAAGAATATATCAGATATTAGTTGCTTAGGGGAGGAACTAGTCAGTAAGGGTGACTCGAATGCGTAGCAAGACGGCGTTTCTCTCACCTCTGTCTGTTATTCAATGCGGGGGTAACTGTTGTTGGATGCGCCTGAACGGGCGGGGCAGCAGCGTCACCGTGGGGCCCTTCTTGGCTTAGGTCAGCATAACGCTATGCGGATAACTCCCTGCCTATTTTAGATTTATGCTGCATAGTGCAGGATATCCAGGACGCTTCATATTGTTACCAAAACAGACATGTTGCCTCCACTGGAACCAGCTTAGACGATCTTGAGGCTCTTCACAAGAAAGAGCCTTTTACTACTGCTGTTTCAGTCACATGGGTCATTAAGCGGAATGACCGCCGCTATTGTTGGTCTATCCAGCATTCCAACCCATCCGCAGTCTCACAAGTACGGCAGACGTCCGATCTGGCAACATCTGCTCTTTGCGTTCAAGAGCTAACGAGAGTATGTTAGAAATGATCTAACACAGCTTAGGGCTTTTCGGGAACTCATCAGCTGAGAAAGTACAGTATGTTGATTGGAGCAATCGTCATCAGCAACAAAAATGGTTGATGATTGCACCATCAGAGCCCGCGCGGGGTCGGTGTTGACATTACACATACTTCAAAAGCACTGAAGATGCACTGCACTCTGATCACATTTCTCTAAATCTCTCGCTTTGATAAAGCGAGTATCTCATTGATCAACATCCAGCCCAACATGACCATCACTGTGACAATCACCGCTCAACAACCTGATATTCAATACGCCCCCGACGTGAACAAATGGCATGCTCGCACGGAGCGTCGCTTACGCACTGAAACCCTTCCTACTGAGCTTCCTTCTGGCTTTCCGGCGAAGCTCGAGTCGGATCTGGTCTGGAAGGGCAAAGACATCGCAGAGCGGTATAACTGGACGTACGTCCTGACCGAGGCAGATCTCGAGGAGATTGACGCTGCAGTGCTGCATTTCAAGTGTACGTGCTCGCTTAACCCCTACCTTGCAGATATATCTCGTTGGGTTCTGTCTGACATTGCTGCTCATAGCGTTGAGCAAACCCCTTGGTTTCATTGATCCGGAGACCTTCCCTCTACCTGCGCTGCACTCAATGTTACGTGATATCTCGCAGGAGCTTCACAACGGACACGGATTCAAGGTTGTCAGCGGTGTGCCGGTCGACAAGTACTCGCGCGAAGAAAATCTCATTATTTACGTGGGACTCTCTGCACATGTTGCCCCGATCCGCGGTCGCCAGGACTCGTCCTATGATGGCACACCGGCAGACGTGATGCTCAATCATATTAAAGACTTGAGCACCCAGGAGCAGAGCAAAGGCCGCATTGGGGCGCCAGCATATACCACCGACAAACAAGTCTTTCACACCGATGCGGGGGATATCATCTCCCTGTTTGCGCTCAATACGGCCGCGGCGGGCGGCCAGAGCAAGCTGGCCAGCAGCTGGCGTGTGTACAATGAATTAGCGGAAACGCGACCTGACCTCATTCGTACGCTCGCGGAGAACTGGACTCTTGACGGGTACTAGATAGCTTTTGTGCAATCAACTTCAAAACATGAGGGTGCATTTGTGCTGACTTTACATGGTGACAGGTTCGGCGATCCTCAGAACCCATATCATGAGCGCCCGTTACTCTTTCATCAGCCAGCTACTGGCAAGCAGCCTGAGCGCGTCCTGATTCAATATGCGCGACGCAACTTCACTGGATTTCAGGACCTGCCCAGGTCCAAGAATATTCCTCCGATCACTGAGGCACATGCGGAGGCCCTCGATTCGTTGCACTTTTTGGCCGAGAAGTACGCAATCGGGCTTGACTTCCGCAAGGGTGACATTCAGTACATCAATAACCTGAGCATCTTCCATGCCAGAGATGGGTTTCAGGACACCCCGGAGCAGCAGTGAGTATTCGCCTTCTATGGTCTAGGCTTGTTTTAGCAATCGGCTGATAAATTATCAAGGCGCCATCTCGTCCGCCTCTGGCAGTGCGATCCCGAGTATGCATGGGAAACCCCCGAGCCTTTGGTTAGAACTTGGAAGCAGCTATATGACGGAGTCACACCTGAGGCTCAATTCTTCCCTCTGGAGCCTTATATCAGGGACTCGGCGGCTGGGGGCAGAAAGGAGTAGGCATGTGTGCTGGTGCTGGATAATGTTGTTGCGGGCTGGCAATTCCGTTATTCCCCGGGCCTTGGCTCAGACATATATAAAGAACGATATGCAGCGCTGTACAATATGTGCAATGTTGATTGTGGTGATATGCAGTCCAGCATGGTGGAAAGGTTCTCTGACTGTAAAGTATCCAAGGCAGAGCATGGGCAATCTATTGAAGCATATTCTTGAGTTTTGGCTATAATCTGGCAAATATAGATTCTAGGCAATAATTCAACCCTTTGAGGTCTTTTCGTTGGATTATCTTCGTAAACTTCCGGCGTCTGTAGGAGTGCCGCACTGTCTATGTCACTGGTGGTAATGCCCACGCGGAAATAAGGTCTCGTCTTTCCCATGGTACGGACAAAAATTGCTAGCCCTACAACTCATTCCAGGCTCCACCCGCCATAATTTTTTCTTAAGGGATTCGATTTTTTTCTTCTTCTGTGAAGAAAATTTCTATGAGAAAGATATTTGTTCTTGTCACAAATCCCAATGTCCTTGAATCTCGCCTGCAGTCGCAGGTTTTACTTTCGACGGCCCTATACGGCATTAGCGGCGCTCGACCGAAGTTGCGATAAATCCAGCACATCGCAACTCAAATGCAAGAAGCACCGCCATAAATCGAAGATTGCATGGAATTGAGGGCATCCTGGGATAAATGACGGCTTAGGGAAGATTTCTGTCAAATTAGGTTCGCGATAGATGGTTCCTTGGTGGCAAATTGAGGCGAAACTTCGGTTCCAGGTGTCTGAATATCACCTGTTGAAACATTGACCCAATAACTACAATGGCCCAGATGGTCCAGTGGTTCCCAGCGCCAATCTTCTAGTGGTTAGGATCCAACCTTCCCATTCTCATAGGATTAGGTTGGGACGCGAGTTCGAGTCTCGCTTGGCGCAATTAATTTTTGTATTTTTCCGGCTCTGATCCAGCCAGGTCCGCTGGTATCACCCTTGTGGTTTGGGTGCTCTTTTTAAACCTCTTTACAGCGTACGCCGGTTGTCTTTTTTTTTTTTTAAATGTCAATGTCTACTTAGGCAGTGTAGTTGGTTCAAATAACTGTAGATATGCAGGCATGGTGACATGTGCTGCTCAAGAGGTTTTGCCCTCCCGTGGTTGACTTTTGTCTATATATTTTAGTAGTGCCCGGATCATTCGCACCAAACATCCCTTGTCACCATCACAAGATGGGGATGGCAGATCACGATAATGGCACAGCACCCCTGAGATATGCATTGTCAAATCTACTTAAAATCCACCTTAAATATACAGCATGACCATACTTCATTAGCCACCCTGGTTGCCTTCTCACCTCCGATCGCACAACCAGCAATCCCTCGCTTGAACCTTGAACATCCCTTCAACCGTTCAAAGCACGTCCATAAGAATGACCGGCCGAGGAAGCGAACAATTTACGCATTGTACCAGTGCAATTCGATCGTACTTCATTTGCAAGTCCATCATGAATCTAGAGCACAAGTGCAATGTTTTGTGCCTGGCACTGAATCGCAAGTCAGGTGGAGAGTCGAGTCCATCCCCAGTTGTTCATCCCCTTGCGTCCTGTCGCCAACCCAGGCAAGGAATTCCGGACTCTCCGATGCGGCATGCAATCTCATCATCTCCCTCGTTCTGGGCGGTGCGTGTGGCGTCGAGGCTGGCTCGGAGTCTCTGCTTCACGTGCCGATAAAATGGCATTGCTGCGACAGGGCGTGCAAGGGCTGCTCCTGGTGGCCGATGCATTGCTATCTATATATGCCCCCCCCCCAGCCGCACACCAATCTGCCCCCCTGGTGTGACATGCGCCGTGCAAACACGGCGAGGAGTCCAGGAGCACTGGGGTTTACCCAGACTTTGAGAAGACGACGACATGGGCGACTTCTCACCCCCCCCATACCAGCTCCTCTCCGAGGCAATTATATTCTGGAGCGTCGCAACCGTGCTATACATTGGAAGGATGTAAGTACCAAAGACCCCCATTACGTGCACAGGGTATGTTCCTTTCATAGAGCCCTTACTAACCTACCAAGAGTTTCCCGTGTCATCGCAACCGGTTCGATCAAGCGCCTGTATTGTATGACGCAGCCAGGATTGTCAGGAATTCGTGAGCACTAACGCGCCTGATATAGCCGAGGATTATGTGATGAGCGTCACATTTGTAAGTCTGAGGCCCGCACCTGGAGAGAGGAGCGCTTGACTGACCCACTGGGTGAGGCAGTTGATCTATACAACATTGCTGGTTTTGATTCAAGTCTCCGCCCGCTATGCGTCTAATCTCGTCGATCCGGCACAATACGATGAGATTATGTCCAACCCACAAGAAGTGCGTGATCGTATCTTTGGGAGCAAGATCGTCATTGGCCTCGAGCAGTGCATGTTATTCTCCACCTGGGGGGTCAAGGTTTGCATGTTGACCATGTTCTGGCGGCTCACCCAGAATTTCCGGCTGTTGCGGATGTATGTCAATTTGATAGCCGCCTTCATCGCCGTCGGCTTCCTCGTTATCATGGTCACGTACTATGCCGTCTATTGCCGGCCATTCTCACAGTACTGGGCCATGCCGGTGCAGGACATGCAATGCGCGACCTACCAGTACTACTCCATCACCCAGGCAGTCTTCAACATCTCCTCCGATGCTGCCATGCTCGCGCTGCCATTTCCTCTGCTGCGGAAGGCCCAGATGAGGAGGGGAAAGAAAATCATGCTGGCGGGCGTCATGAGCTTGGGTGTCTTCACCATCGCCGCTGCGATTCTCAACAAAGTCTTCAATTTCGCCTCTCCCTTGACGACGACCTATCAAATTTGGTATATACGGGAGGCGAGCACTGCGATCTATGTCGCGAATATGGTTTGTCTGTCGCCCCTGATTCGGAGGGTGTTCAGCTCGAAAATGTATCAGAAGACAAATAGGCCGCATGGTCAGCATGCTCGCTGGCATGGCATAGATCCTTCCAGCGTATCGCGTGCCGCGCAAAGCAGGGGAAAAACGAGATACTGGCACCCATTCTATTTCTCCCATACATACGAATGGAAACTCGACCATTTCACCATGAGTGTTAAAGGAAAGCCCCACGAGGATAATCTTGTTGACCAACGAACAAGCGAGGAGGCTATCATCAGGACGACCCCCGGATATCCGGAAAGGACTCTAGGTCCGCATAGAGCCAGTTCCTATCGCTCTTGTGAGGACGAAGGTCAATACACGTTCGAGGAGGGAATAGAGCTGAAGCAAATTCATATGGTAGCGTGAAATGCTAACGAGTTATTTACATCGCCTACCAGCCTCGAGCTCACTCTGACGCAACAGAAGTGAGACGCATGAAGACATTAAATCTCGAAAATTCAGTATGTGATCCCCCCGGTACCAGAACACCACGAAAGACGCTCCACGAATCAGGTCTATGTGCTATGCGAAAGCAAATTGCCACTCGCTCTGAAGTGTCATGGTCAGCTGCCTTTCTTCGGCCCACAACAATCAGCGGGGAATCACGGTCTCTACTCACAGATAGTTGGTTGCGCGATTATAGAGAGGTACCTCAGAGACGCGGAAGGATGTCGGTACGGATCAGAACTGGCTGCGGAACAGCTGGGCCAGACCCGGAATGAAGCCAACCGGTGCGTGAGGCCCTTGCGTTACAGTAGTCTGTCTTGCACAGGGGGCAGCATGCGTGGCGGCGGGTTAGCCAGGGATCTAGGCAGGACACATGGAAAATATGACCGCACGTCAGAGGACGAATGAAGTCTGGCCCGCGAAACTCATCCATGCAAATAACACACTCTCTGCTAGAATCTGCCATGTCGAAGCCTTCTCCTGTACCCGGGGCAGCCTGCATGATGTCAAAAGCAGTAGGGGCTGGCCCATCGCAACCAGGAACCTGACGAGGCGTATCAGTGGGGATTTCCTCGGAGCGTGGAGCGTCGTTGACCGGGGCGATCTCAATAGCATCGACAGAGGTAGTATCAGCCGCGACGGAAGAAACCCTCGCCTCGGTGGCATCCTTGGCGGGCATGCACCTGGTCCTAGAACTGAGCCAGTCGCTATACTTCATCTGGGGGAAGCGTCTCTCCACGTCACGGCTGGAGATCACGGCACGACTGGACCCCATGGGAGCAGTCTCGGCATCGTTGCTGTGCAGGTTACGGGTACGCTCGCGGCGTCGGACCTCAACACAGATCCTTTTTGTTTTGATTCATCCGAGTTAGATTCCGGACGCCCACTGAAGAAGAAACGAATGACCGAGGGGAAAACGATCCACATACCAAGCAACAAAAACGAAGAAGGCAATGCAGACGGGGGCCAAGTAGCCGAGAATGGCGGCCGACGAGACGTCAACCATGGCTGATGCTGGGTCACCTTGCATCGGCTTTCTGTGAAGATCAAGCTACCCAGGGTGCGCTAGTCAGAAAACCGACAGGACAGGATATGATCACAGAATCAATCACGAAAGGGCCATGTACATACCCTGTGACTTGTGTGAAGCGGTGAGGATGGTTGTTTTCTCCGGGAAAGATCAAGGAGTGTAGATAGATGCTATCAGAGGGCCTGCTTGTTGTATATGCAACTCACGAGACCTCTCAAAGCAGCAGACCCAATGTTATAACCACGAGAGAAAAGGTGGAAGCAGATAGCAGAAAGCAGACAGGCAGGAGAGCGTGTTAATTCTGGCACCCCTCACGCACGACGCAGCGTAGCGCAAATCAGATGGTAAGCCCCTATGGTCGAGCGTACATACCGACACGGCAGTTTTGGTGCAAGATGAGTGAGTGAAAGCGCAATCTCTGGCAACCCCTTTCCCCTTCCTTATGGACACCGGACATTGGGGATTACCGTGCTCTTTGTCCGTGCAGAAAAGCAGATAAAGAAGAGAAAGAAAGCTGTGTTCAAGAGAAAGCGTCCAGCATCCGGCATGATTTCCCTTTTCCCATCCCCATGACGAAACTCTGACTGGCCGGAGGGGAGACTACCACTTAACCCCCCCCCAAATCCGCCCACCGCTCGCTCGCTCAGCCTCGAGAGGAGGGCGGGAGGAAACATGTTGTTCTTTATGCAATTTATCTTCCTCGGAGAGAATCTTACGTGCTTCTATGGAAAGTCCATCAATCTAGTGTAGGGGATGGCTTGCTATGTGCAGATTGATAGATCGGTGGGAGCTGTTGGCAGTGCATGCATGCCTTTAGTAGCGGGAAGTTTAGGAAGTATAAAGTCGAGTAAAGTTAAGCGAGATAAAATTGGTATGATTTCTTCTCTCCCTCCGATTCTGTGTATTATTGGCAAAGCAAGTAGGTCGATTTCATTCGTTGGCTCCTCTGCGACGAAAGCAGAATTATCTATCCTCGTGGTAAGTTCAAGCCCTACTCCGCGCGCGCAACTGCGAGCTGAAGAGACCGGGTAGATAGAGACGTGTTTCTAATCTAGATAGCCTGCATTCACTATTTTTTTTGTGCACTCAAAACTGGATCCTCTCTATTTCAAAAATCGGCCACAGAATTCTTTGTGGCTGTGACAATGAAGTTAAGGCATGAGGTGCATAGCATGACGGTGAAAAATGCAGAGCTGCTGCACTGGAGGAGGGAGGCTGTCTCGTCTAGGCAATAAGCAAGAGTACCGGTGTAGGTTGATGCAGCCAAGGCGGTTTGTGCTTATCTATGGCAGAAGGGTCCACTACTACACTACAGCAATCGTATATGTGATATGTATGCATGTATGGAAGCCAAGAGTTTGACTTGGCCTAGAAATCATGGATGGAGAATGGTTGGACCCGATCCGTACAGTGTAGTGCGTAGTTAGGTATGCTTCTGCTGATTCCTAAAATGCTCCTGTCCGCATTGCCTGGACGTATCCACTTTCAGTGTCAACTCACACTCTCCACCTATAGTAGAGAAGTTTGCGCCTCATCGCCTTGTGCATAGTGTATGGTTTAGTCTTGAAGTGGAGAATATCTCAGGTTCGAAGGCAGTCTATGGGCAACAAGGCTAGGGAGATGTCTGGGCAGCTGGACTTGATGACAAAATGTTGAAATATATTGCATCAATTACGCAGGATTACCATAACAAGCCCGGGTGGTCTAGTGGTATGATTCTCGCTTAGGGATTCCAAACCCAAGCATATCTGCGAGAGGTCCCGCGTTCGATCCGCGGCTCGGGCCGTTATCCTTTTTTTCCGCATCGCCACTTTTTTGTTCTCTTTTGCTCTTCACCACCTTCATATGCTCTCTCCTCCTACTATATTCTGCAAAACAGCACCGTTTTCTTCAGCCACATTCAATGCAACGAGAAGGCTCTAGGTAGATTGCCCCACGAAGTGTACATCACCTGCCATAAGCCTAGAATATACCTAAAAATGTGGAACCTTTTTCGTTTCCCAGTCCCCGGACCATAGTACAAAACCTCTTCCTAATCGCAGTTTTCAAATACACAAAGGTAACGAAAACAATATACTACAAGGGTGGTGACTCGGAAGAAAACCCGAAGCAAAAACAACAAATCTTGATCTTTTCCCATCCTCTGCCAAAGATACAAAAGCAACCTCCCCCTGGCGCATCGAAAGATAAGTGTGTATATAACATAGGACCTAAGATAAGCAGATACCCCGCGGACATGTCGAAAAAAAAAAAGAAAACGCCTTCGCTATGCAAAAAAATACAAGAAAAGTTCAACCTTCCTAACCCGTATTCCTCCGCATTGCCTCATGTGTCTCCACCCGAATATCGAACAACAGGTCGTCAATCTCTTTGAGAGATTGCCTGTCCAGCTTGGCCAATTTGACGTCGTCAAGGACCCTGCGGAGGGAGTTTGCGATTTCCGCCTCGGACTTGACCAGGACAGGTTCGGCTGGGGCCTCGGTTTCTGCTTGAGTAGGGGCAGCGCGGGATGAGGCGCGGGTTTTCTTCTTTTTCTTCTCCGAGTGCTTCTCCCTGATGGAAGATGGTGTCTTCTGCGACTCGGGAGCGGTTTCTGCGGACGGGTGCGCATCGGTCATCTGGATGTCGTTGTCTGCCGAGGGCTGCAGATTCTCGACAGGCACGGGCCGGGTCGTCGAAGCGACTTCCTCCTGAGCTTCGAGCGCAGGTTGTACCGACTCCTCAGACTCGTGTGTTTCCGGGTCTACTTCGGGAACCGCCGTAGCATCTAGTGCATTCTGAACATCGTCCAGATGATCGGACGCCTTCTCACGCGCTGGCTGCTTTGGCTGGTCTTCTGCCGTAGTCTCCTGGGAATCACTCTCTTCATGTATAGTTTCCGTGTTTATATCATTGTCCTGCTTGCGTGGACGAGAAGGTCGAGGTGATTTCTTCGACTTCTTTTGAAGCACAGGGCTCTCCTCGGGTATAGGCGGCGCAGCTTGACCACTTAGACGAGAAGACCTTCTCTTCTGAGACTTGTCTTGACTCTCTGAAGGCTTGTCCTTCGAGCTGACAGGGTCCGATGCTTGACTGTTAGCGACCGATCTAGTCGTGCTGGAGGCCTCAGCCCTGGTGTCATGTTTCCGTCGTTTCGGTGCAGACTCGGCAGGCGACGACTCAAGGTCGTGAGTGTTTAGCAAGATTTCGTTCGAGCGAGTGGTGTCGGCTTCGTATTCCTCAGCCGCAGCGGGCGTCTTTGTGAGTCGAGACGAGCGCCTTCTTTCCTTCCTCTGAGGTGTCTGCTCTTCCATCTCACGTTTTCTCTTCCTGGATGGTTGAGGCTCATGCGAAGCTTCCATCGACTCTTCACCGCCCGCAACATCATCTTTATCTACGGCAAGCTCCAGATCTTGCTCCAATTGGGATGACACCTGGTCTTCCATATCAACATCGTCGTTGTACAAGCCGGGGTTACCGCTGGGTCGTTCCGCCTGGGCCTCGACGATTTCGACAATCTGAGGCAAGTCCTTCTCCACTTCGGGCCCAGTCTTCGAACCGACGGCGTTGGCCGAGGCGGAGGCTCTTGTGGAGTGCGTATGACGTGTCTCCTTACTGGATTCTGTGGCAGCTCCTGTATGTTGCTTCTCGGTTGTGGATTGCAGAGGAGAATCAGAGGTCTTCCCAGTAGAAGAGCGGAGGCGTTTAGTCATAGGCTGGTCTGCGACGTCGTTTGGATTGTCCTGAGTGACGTGTTCAGTCTGATTGAGCTCAGAATTTGACTTCTTCTTGAGCTTGGCAGAGCGTCTGGCCTTCTTCTTCGCCTTCTTGCTCTTACCCGGTGTGGTCGTTGGTGTCTCAAGGTCAACGGGTGTCTCGTTACTAGGATGGGGACCAGGAGTAAGCGAGTGATGATCTGCGGGAAGTGAAGTGAGTTCTGGAGGTGATGATCGGGGCTCGTTGTCCAACAAAGAGGCTTCTGGGGCAGATGTTGGGGGTGGTGGCACATGTGAGTCGCTCAACTGCGCCCTCCCTCTTGAGATAGGAGTCGGTGACGAGCCAAGGTAGTTATATTCGTTCTCTGCCGACACAGGCGGCAAAGGGGGTGTTTGCGGGGTCCCTGCATCTGTATCCGAGTGATGCAGGTGACGCAAGTGCGGCGGTGTCATGAAGTGGATATCTCTAGGTGTATTGCTCGGCGGGGAAGAAGACCTGAGGCTTTCAATCATCGAGAACAACTCGCTGCGCTTGTTACCGTCCTCTGGGCCTGATACGAAAGGGTCTGGATGAGAAGCAACAACATGTTGCTCGGCACGCTGACTGTCAGCTTCGAAAGCTCGTTCCCGCTGAAGTTCTTTTGTGCGCTCTCGTGTGACTGCACGGTCTGAGCCCCCAGTCACAGGCGACGAGTTCAAGCCCGAGTCGACCGGATTGTCTAGAATGAAAGAGATCCGTGACTTTACGGACATGTCCCCAGAGCCGTTTTTGGTTTCCTGTTCGTCGAAAGTACTCATCCGAGCTCTAGGCTTCGAAGGGTTAGCATGAGCTGGCTGTCGCTCGTTATGACATGACATACCTTCGATTCCTCCAAAGGTGTGATGGCCTGCTGATGTATAATGAGAGCTTCCAAGCTCTCCAGCGCATGCGTTATCCTTTCGGGGCGGGACAAAAATCTCTGTGAACCGAAGGTAGAATTCCAGAAGTCATAGAACCTCCTTCTTACTGATATGTGTGAAGAATCTAGACCTGCGTGAATGATATCTTCGAACTTTTGCAGGAACGAGGCATTATGGGGGGAAGATGCTTGTAGGATATTCAGAACAGCCGAAGAGAGTGCGCGACACTATACAAGGGTTAGAGTATGTCCAAGCCCCCTTGCTTCTGACACTTACTGCAGTGAGAATCCTGCTCTCCACACCACTCTCCACGCTCATTCGCTTGTCCTCATCCTTCAGATAAATAGCCAGGGGTAGCTGAAGACTTTCCAGCATGATAGACCGGACAGTTGAAGTACCTGAGCCCAAGAGTGATGTTAAGGATTCAATGAAGTCCGCCATACCGCTCGTTTCTGAGGGGTCGAAGTGTTCATAAGAATCCAACAGGGTACGCCCAACCAGGTCAACCAGTTTGTGGAACGGCAAGTGGCTCTCATTGTTGTCTCTCTCAAATTGTTGGTAATAGGTGATGGAAAGCAATTGCTTGAGGATAGATGCCAACGGCAAGTAAGACCTCCGGGCACCACCCTTCATGATAGACTCGGCAAGAGGCTCAATGACCATGAGTGTGATTGCTTGGTCACTTCTCTCGGTTCTCACCACACGTATCAGGGAGTCAAGCAGTTCATTCCATACCTGAAAGTTGCGATAGTAATTCAACCCCGTTGAAAGAACTTTCACAGCATTTTCATAGTCTCGGGTAACGGATCCATCGCGTTCTCGCGCAGTCTCCATTGGAAGTGAGCGCAAAGAATCAGCAGCTGACTGTGCTGTACACTCCCAGACGGTCTGTGCCAAGAAGGGACCCAAGGGGAAGTCGGAGTCACTGTACTCATCATAGAGACTGGCACATTGTTGTAGTAATTCTAAGCGCGAGCTTCGAGAAATTTTATCACTGCACGTGGCCTCAAGTACACTCTTGACCAAGTGAGAATACGCCGTGCTTGGCACCGTTATCACAGACATTTCACTGATCATTCGGAGGTAATGCAAGGTCGGGGTGCTTAGATTGGCGGTTGCTCTCGAATGGCGATGGGTTGGCGTGGTAGCAGCTTGGAACGAGTAGTCGGAGGTCCGCAGAACAAGCTTCTCTGTAAACCGAGCACTTCCTAGGGCGTGGATCATCGTAGTGGACAAGAACCCAAATCGCTCGAAGAAAGTGTCCATGGAGCCATCCTCTTGTTTTGCGCTGAGCGCGTCTGGCCCGGTAGTCCAGACCCGCCTAAGAAAAACCAGTACGTGAGCCACGGTCTGCATCGACTCAGGAGTTGGGGTAATCTCTTTGTTTAAGGTGAACGCCAAGGCACTAGATAAATTCAGCCATGCAGCGCCAACATGCGACTGTTCAAGGTTATCTGTCCAGATTGTTGCTTTGAAGATACTCTCAAGAACATCAAGCACTGATGAAATTCTGGATCTTAGCCACCTGCTATCAATAGAAGGTAACTCCTCCGGATCCAGCTTGTTGCTCTCATTGACTTTGTTTTCTACCCAGGGCCTTGGGTGCGAGCTCCAGAACATGCTGGACAGCACGTGAGCGAGTCGATCATGCATGCCGGGCACTGTTGCGAATACCGTTGATAAGGGCGAGGCAATGTACTCTTTCCAAACAACATCCAGGTGCTCAAAAGTTGCAGACGGGCGGAAGGCATAGTACAAAAGATTGTAATAACTGCACAATGCCAGCTGGCGAGGTTGCTTGTCGTGCTTCTTGCGGTCGAATTGGGACATGATTGGTTTGCTCAGCATCTTGAGTATAGAAGGGCTTGTTGTATCGCTCGGGCCAACGACCAGAACAAATCGATTCCAACCCACGATAGCCTGAGCTTTGATTGAAGAGTCACTGCAATTGAAGCACCTCTGCAAAACCAGCACCCATTCTTTGAAATGTTCCCACTGGTCAACGTTGAACTTTTTACTTCTCAGAAGCAGTACGATCACGCCCCAGACCTGCGGTACATGTATACCTGATTCGGGATTGTTCATCATCCGTGACATTCTCTCGCATACTTCAGTCACCATCTTCCTGCCCTTGTCTATGAACCTTCCAAACACATCCCGAACGGCCTTTGATAGCGTTGGATTGGGCCCACACGTGATAGAGGTCTGGAAGCCGACAGAAATAGCTTTGAGGCGAGTATCCTTCATATGATGAAGTAGTCCCGAGATTAAATGCTCCATCCACAACGCTGCGTGAGAGACGAATGTCGATTTCGATTGACTGAGAACACGAGAGTAGATGCTCAACCGCTGAGACACAATTGCATTTCCGTTGACACGGCTAGTCAGACTGTTCAAGACAGTGAGAAGGCGTATCACCCTGGCATTGGTCATGATTTTTGTATGAAAGTTTTGTGTAGCCAAGACAGATAAGTAATGTGTGATCACGGACTTAGGCACTTTGGCATCTTGCAGGCAATCGATCGAGTGATCGATAAGGAATGCCTTGAACTCGTCCGACAGCCGCGCAGATATCTCATTGTGCCAAACAAGAGCAACAGCCAGTTTTAGCGCCTGGATGACAAGATTGGTGTCCAAAGGTCCTCCAGTCGTCAGGTCTCTGCTGATGTCTCGTTGTATAAAATGTGTAATTGTGCCCAACTTCGCGATAACTTCCTGCTCTCCAGGAAGCCCTTCATATGCCCTTAGCGCCCCGAAGAATTGCATGTATGCATCGAGTCTGGAGCTGACTGTGTCGCCAGCTAATTGCTGGAGAATGGATTCAAGAAGCATGGCGAACGTGTCGGGAATGGGAGGGGCGGAGGAAGGAGAGTCGGCTAGAGCGTGCGAGCTCGTCGTCTTGAGGATCGACTTTGCGGGTTTGAGTTCGTTCGAAGGGGGAAGAACTTTCAGCTCAGGTCGCGATTTGGCGGTGGTATTCGTGAAAGTCGGAGGTTTGATATATTTAGTCCATGGCGAGAAGTTCACGCGCTTGGATTGACGGGTCGAGGGGGCCCCGGTCGAACCATTGACAGAGAAAGGAGAGTCACGAGGCGTATGCACAATGGCCGGGGAGTCTTCCCTTCGATCTTTCTCAGACAGCATAAAAGACGATGTCCTTGGTGGAGTCGGCGGACGAGCAGAGACAGGACCGAGAATCTCCACCATATTTTTGACGATCGAATGGTTAAGAAATAGGAATCAGAAGCCGAGAGAGAGAAAAGGACATCGCGATATGGCCTGACGATGATCACGAGTGGTCCATGCTCTAGTTCAAGCCTGAGAGAAACAACCTGGAGCGAGATTTGAAGCCCAGATGAAGCAGGGCTGTCGAGCGTTTGATCCTCGGGGAACCGCGCCAAGCCACGCAGCTCAAAAGGGACGCGCCTGTGGCTGAGGCACGCGTAAAGTGGCAGCGCCGCGTTTGATGCCTGAGGAGACAAGGCACTAGTATCCGGGCGGGAAGTTGAAACAAATCGAACAAACAAATGAACCATTTAAGTTAATGATGATAGAACCAGTCTAGATATTTGGGCTCGAAACATGGGTCTGGACTCGTGTCTTTGATAGGAAACATTCTCGAAGAACTGAGAATATCCTCCTAGACAGGACGCAGAAAGATCTCCCTATATCAGTACATACTTTCTTCCATCGATCCTTGTGGAGATACACATACATTTGTGAGCCTGAGTGGGGTTCTCCTGCTTTATCGCACCTCTCCGATCCTCTATTCACCGATCCATCATTGGCTTTAACTTCTGGCAAGAACCATCCCCGCGGATCCAAGGCCCGAAACCTCTACATCACTTGGTCCAGGGCCTTTGAACCTTGAGCTACAGCGTGACTTATCTCACCAAAGGAGTGTTAATACTTTGACCTTTTGGATTACCGGAACACTGAGGTTCGTGCGGTCGCAAAGGTCACTAGCTCTAATCAAGCGGGGCCCAAGTTTGGGTGGACTACCAGGGGGTGTCCTATTCATACAAAGCCACACGGGACACAGGAACCCGGTTGCTCCTCTGCCGAATTCAAGTTTTGAACAACATAAAAGATGGAGTTTCGCACGCTCCAAGGTGCAGGTATGTAGAAACCACCTTCATATCGATGTAGACTAACAGATTATGCTTAGCTAAACTGCAACGGGTCTCCCAGTTGGTGGAGTTGCTAAAACAAGACCAGCTGAAGAAGTCGCTCACATCACAGCGTAAGTACAAAGAAAAGCATACTTATGAGCAAGCTTCTCACAACATGGAATGCACCTTATAGAACGCATACAAACCCTGTTAGAGCTGAGGCAGCATGGCACCAGCCCTGATAACGCAGGCCCGATCTATTCTAAAGAGGTACTAAGAACCAACTACTCATAGCTTGCTTCGACTGCTGACTATTCTATAGGGAATAGAACTGTTAACCAAGTACGGTGTTACGGGAGAAACGACTGATGTGCGGCGAGCTGCCCTACGATGCGTTGCAAATGCTCTCCTCCTTAACCCTGCTATGCGTCAGCTGTTTGTTGATACAGGCTATGGAGGTAAATTGGCGGAGCTACTCAAAGTATGCAAATCAATTCCACCATCTTACACGTGTTTCTATTTGCTGAAACCAGGCTAGTGTGACTCTTCAGACGACGAAATGGTTATTAGTCGCATTCTCTTTCTCTCCACATATGATACCACCATGGACTTCGAAATACTGATTAAGAATCATCTCTTGAGTGAAAATGTCAACTATGTGAGTGAGCCCCCTCCACCATCCCACCCCCCTCTTTGGCCCCTAGAGGAGTAGAACCAATCTGACTGATCAATCTATGTAGCAAATTACTCGACACGCCAAGCAATTTCCGAAGTCGGGAAAGAAGCCCTTGTCGCAGATGGACGAACTGGCGCTCATCGACACACTGAAATTGATTTTTAATGTCTCCAAGATCTATCCGGAGCTTGCGGGGAGTTTTTCGCCTTCGATCCCGCACCTCTTCAAGATCATCAGCCGGATGGATATTCCTGAAAAGCCTCTAGACGGTTTGCTCGGATATCTTCTCAACTGCCTGTCAACCCTTGACATTGAGAACAAGAAAGGCAAAGCATGGGAGAGCAGTCCGCTCTTTCCGACGTTTAATCAGAACTGCAATGTCGACAAGCTGATCAATATTCTGGACCAGGCTGTGTCTGCATATAAGGCAGATGAGTTGGAAACCAAAGCGATCCCACTCTTCCACACTCTTGTGACTATTCATGAGCTGGCACCTGATGGCGTCCGCAAGTACATGCAATGGCTTTTGTTACCCGAAGAGAATGATAGAAGTCGTCCCATTGGACAGTCCGACACGCTTTCCTCCAAGCTTCTGAATCTCTCAACCACTCCCTATCCGAACGTAAAGACAGCTATCTCCGAGCTCATGTTCGTTCTCTCTGGAAAGGACGCGGAGAACTTGACCAGAAACATTGGCTATGGATTTGCAGCAGGATTATTGGCTTCTCGTGGCATGGAGATACCGCAGACAGCGGGCGAGGCATTCGCTACGAACCCGCAGGGATTCGATCCGGAGGTCAACCCCATAACTGGCCAGAAATGGGCTGCGGAGAAGAAGGATGAATGGCCGCCTATGACAAAGGAAGAGAAGGAGCGTGAGGCAGAGCGATTGTTTGTGCTCTTTGAGAGGTTTGTGTTCCTCCACCGATGATATAGATGATTGCTGACAGCTTCATATAGGGCCAAGGCGAATGGAATACTCAACGTGGAGAACCCTGTCACGCGTGCCCTTCACGAAGGTAGATTTGAAGAACTGCCTGATTCGGACGACAGCGACTGAGCATTTGCTATCTGACCCCTTTGTTACTGCTGTATCATACCCCGTCAATTGAACTGGGACCCGGAGTTGTACAGGTTTCCTTCCCATCTAAGATGTCTGATCTTGCCGTCTAGCCCTCAGCATAGCACTGCAGTTACAGTTCCCCCTTGTACATTAATTCGGGTAGCTCTGTCCCTCATTGCCTTGATCTGTCATCCGCAGAATCGAATGGAAAGCAAGCAGGCATGATTTGGCCACCCATTAATAAGCGACAGAATCCCAGAGTAGAAGCTCCGAGCATCAGCTCGAAGATGCTTGAAGCTTCCGGTAGAGTCTGGTGTCGAGGCCTATGGACCTGTAGTATGAGCAGTCTGCATTTGCATATCAGTTCTCAGGCCTTAGAAAGCACTGTTGAAACGGTGCGAATGACGTACGGATCTGGTGCGGGGCGGGGTTTTAGGCGGGCGGCGCAAAAATCTCCGCCCGCGGCAGAAAAAGAGTAGTCTGTCGCGCGGGGCACTTCGAATCCGATTTCCCAATCCACCCAACAACAACCAACCACCAGAGTTTGTTATCGGTCCCCAAAGAGACCTTCCATTGTATACCCACCACATTGAACATTCTTCAAAGCATATCCCCACACACATAATCGTCAAAATGTCGAAGCCTTTCGATCCCGAGACCGCGGAGAACTTGGACGATGTAAGTTCGTGCTTTGCGCCAGGAAGAAAACTCCCCTGGTGATCTCCATCTTTCGAAAACAAGACCAACAGCTGATTTTCTCGCGTTGTAGATGGAGAAGCAATTTGCCGTCAAGGGTCCGTTTCCCTCTCACCTCACCGTTCTAGGTAGAATCGTTCATACTCACCCGCCTTTACAGCCGTGGAGCACTTGATGACATACTGGGCGATCCTCGAGAAGGTCCGCGGCTCGCAGCTCCGTCTGACCAAGATGGACGATGAGATCTACGAGTCCTTCATGAAGGAGTTCCCGGACTTCGACCCCGCCGAGACGCTGAACGAGGACACGATGAAGAGCAAGGAGGGCAAGGAGAAGTGGCGCAACTGGATGAACCAGTATGAGAAGACCGTCACCGACTTCAACTTCGGAACTATGCTCCGCTCCAACCCCAAATTCGAGTACGACCAGGAGACGACTATCTTCGGTGGGTTTTCTTTTTTGACTACAGGAAGTTTGTTGCACTGGGGAAATATGTGGGACTAACGTCGCAAAACAGCCATGCGCATGCAGTTTTACGCGATCGAGATCGCCAGGTGAGCATCATCGGGCCTCGAATAAGAAAAAAACACAAGTGGAACTAATCAATTATCGATTCGTTAGGAACCGCGCTGGACTCAACGACTGGATCTACGAGAAGGCCCAGAAGGCGAGCTCCTAAGATGTGTGCCACGGAGTACTGGAAAAACCTTTCCTTGGCCCTTCTAGAATAGTCGCACGAATGACTGGATCCGTTCCCCAGCTCCCAATCCTGCATTCGCTGTCGCTTTATGGGATAGTGCAACGACTCGAGTCCATAGTCAGCCCACTTCACGGCCCGTTCATGGTCCAATGAATCGTTCGGTAGCGGCCGTAAATGTTGCTTTTAATGACCTTGGCAGAGAGTCTGGGTTCCCTGCGAGAATGGAACCGGGGTGGTCTCAATTTCTTCTCTTCGTTCTCAAAAAGCGAAACATTATATGTATATACAGTGGGTGGATCTTGTTCATTGGAAATGAAGTAATGAATAGACATTTTCTTTTTTTTGGGGGTGGTTGGTCCTCAGGGCGAGCGGAGAAACAACAATGCCAACCGTGGATCATTATCTCTTCCTTCCTCAATATAACCGCTTTGGGACAAGGAGCGGGACAATGGGTTACCTCAGCCTGCCATGAATGACTCCCCTTTGTTACGCCTCACAAACAGGATGGAGCATAGGCGAGTGTTAGACTTTTTGGGTATCTCATCTCTCAATATGGATCGATCGTCTGCGAAGACCGACCTTTCTGCATTCTTAGTCAAACCATGTATCTCCCAGAGTTTATCAAGACGCCTCGTCGATAGATAAAAGAAAGGAAAACAACAGTCAATCAAGGACGGCTCGCAAGGCCGAATCAAACGATGGCCGCGTTTACTCTCCGACTTCCCTCGGGCAGAAATGCGGGCTGGTTGTCTTTGTTCAGCTTCACTACTGGGAAGCATGCGCCGACTCTGATCGGAGGAGTCGTGCTCGCTCTCGTCGCCAGTCTGCCCACACCGGCTTTCTCTATATTGCTGGGCCAGATCTTCAACGAATTCACCTTGTTCGGAGGCCAGGAGATCACTAATCACGACCTCATTCGGACGACGACGAAGTATTGCGTCCGACTGGCGGTCTTGGGAGCAATCAGTTGGATCTGTAACGGATGCTACTATGTCCTGTTTGTTATCTTCGGAGAGCTGCAAGTGGCCAACGCTCGCACCGAGCTTTTCGACGGCCTCTTGAAGAGGGATCAAGAATGGTTTGAGACACAGCAGGATGGCACTCGGGTGTACCTGTCAAGTCTCCAGGGGTGCGTTGCATGATGATTCTTGTTTGGCTCGCCCTAACAGGCTGACACTGAAAACTAGTCTTATCGATGACCTGCAAAAGGCGACGTCGCAGGCATTCGGGCTTGCCGTACAATACTTTTTTCGAGCGATCGTCTCGCTGATCCTAGCCTTCTATACGTCCTGGAACCTGAGCTTGGTCACTCTGGCTGGGATGCCGGTCCTGTCGGCCATCATCTCATTCCTGTCCTCGAAAATGAATGCGAGCTTCGAAGCGCAGAAGGTTGAGCTTGTGAAGTCGTCGAAGATTGTGGACAGCGCCACCACCTCGATTGATGCAGTCAAGTCCTTCAATGGGCAACTCATCGAGCACCGGAGTTTTGTGGCCAGCATCGACAAAGCAGCACTGTGCTATTTGAGGCGAGCACGCTTCACCTCTCTGCAGATCGCGTTCCTGCGTATGATGTCTTTCGGTATGTTTATTCAAGGTTTCTGGTATGGCAGCTCTCTGGCGGCGTCCGGTCAGCTCTCTGCAGGGGAAGTTTTAAGAACCTTCTGGGCCTGCTTGGCAGCAGCGCAGTCCTTCGAATTCATCATGCCACAGGCAGCTGTAATGAAAAAGGGCAAGATCGCTTCCCTTGCCCTGCGAAACGCGTTAAGTGATCGAGCGGACGGTAAAGCCCCGGGTGTGTTAGACGGTGCCATATGCCCGGATGTCTGCCATGGCGACATCGAAGTGAAAAATGTGTGTAGTATATCAACACTCCTTTTTCATATTGGTTCACTCGCTAATTCGCCGGTGCCTAAAAGCTTTCTTTCTCATACTCGTCTCAACCAGACAGACTCAGTCTGAACTCGACGAGCTTCTTCTTTCCAGCTGGAGAGACCACGTTCGTCATAGGAAAAAGCGGTTCCGGAAAAAGCACACTTGGGCAGCTACTTGCTCGCTTCTACATGCCGACATCGGGTGAGATTCTTATCGATGGACATCCCATTCAGACGTTAAGTACGAACTGGATTCGCAAAAACGTGACACTCATCGAACAGCGGAGCGTGCTGTTCAACGAGTCTGTTTTCATGAATATCGCATTTGGAAGCCGAGATCACAGTCGGCTCCGGAAACCTGACATTCAAGGATGCATTGATTTAGCCAGGTTAGAGGGGACTATACAGGCTATGCCCGAAGGCATCGAAACATGTGTTGGACCCGGTGGGAATTTTTTGAGTGGGGGTCAAAGGCAGCGGGTTGCGATCGCCAGAGCTCGACTCAGAGATACTCCTATATTGATCATGGACGAACCGACAAGTGCTCTAGATGGCACCAACCGCGTCGAAATTATGAAAGCCATTCGAGAATGGCGACGGGGCAAGACGACGATTATCATCACGCACGAAATGTCCCAGATCCTGGACCGCGACTTCGCATATATTCTAGAGCATGGCTTGGTAGTGCACGCCGGTTATAGACATGAGCTGGAGGAAAACAAACTATTCTTCCCTTCAAAAAGTAAGAAAGCCACCGAGCAAGGTGAAGGTGAAGAAGAAGAAGAAGAAGAAGAAGAAGAAGAAGAAGACGCAAGCGGCGCGATGAGCCGGAGCTCATCGCCTGAGCCAGGCTCTTGTGATACATCGAAAGCTCGAAATAGACATTTCTATGACCCAGTGCGAGATGCATATCTCAAGGAGATGCTGTCGACAGACAACGAGTATGCCGGTGGGGTGCGATCCAGAAGACAAAGCGTGTTCGGATCCATGCTTCCACTCCATGCGCAGCGGGAATCCATCGACTCAATTGCCATGGAGATGATAGAGCTCAACACGATTCAAGTCAACGCAAAGGCACAGCTCAACCGAATTAGCCGTCACATTGCTGCCAACAACCACCCGCTTGATCGCATTGACGAAATGGTTGCAGATGAGCACCCCGAGCAAGTGGCCCGCCTCCTGCCCCAGCAACGCAGGCCTTTACGGAAGATCTTGTTGACCATGATACCAAATTTGACGAGTGAACAACGTTGGCTGCTGGCGCTGGGATCTTTCAGCACGCTTCTCCATGCGATGGCGACTCCGGTGTTTTCTTTCTGTTTGTCGCAGCTGCTGCAGACTTTCTATAACAAAAAAAGCCACGCGTCGACGTGGTCTTTGGCCGTCTTCGGGGTATCACTCGCCGACGGTGTAGTGTCCTTTTTGATGCATTACCTCCTGGATCTATGCGGTCAGGCTTGGGTCGATAGTATACGCAAGATCGGCTTCGCTCGAACCCTCGACCAGCCCCGCAAATGGTTTGACGAAGAAGGGAACAGACCCTCCCAGCTAACAACATGCCTGAACCAAAATGGCGAGGAGATGCGCAACTTGGTTGGCCGTTTTGGTGGATATCTCCTCGTGGCTGCCACCGTTGCTCTGACTGCGATTATCTGGAGCATGGCCCTCTGCTGGAAGTTGACTCTTGTTGTTCTCGCTTGCGGCCCCGTCATTTACGCTATCACTAGAGGCTTCGAGAGAACGACTGGATTATGGGAGAGACGATCTTCTGGAGCTAGAACCACGACATCGGAGGTCTTCATCGAGACGTTTTCAGAGATCCGGACAGTCAGAAACCTGACACTAGAGCCGTTCTTTCACAAGAAGCACTTGAGAGCTGCGGCGGTGTGCATGACCATCGGCATCAAAAAAGCTCTCTACACGGGTTCTCTTTTCGGCCTGGTCGATTCTATGATTATGTTTGTCAGTGGTGAGTCACGAGACTGTTGAAGTATCATGCAGCAGATGCTGATGAATCAAAGCTTTGATATTCTATTATGGGGCGGTGCTGGTATCTTCGGCAGAATTCAGCGTCGAACAACTCATGAGCGTGTTTTCCATGCTCCTATTCGGCATTGGATATGCAAGTGTGGTTCTTTCATGGAGTATGTTCTCATCATCTGCTGTTTCCCACCTGCGTAGCATTTACTGACCACCCCAAAGTCCCTCAAATTGGCACGTCGCAGGAGATGGCTAATCAGCTCTTGCGCCTCGCGGATCTTCCTAAAGGTAGCTCGCACGAGCATAAGGGAACCCTCAAGGTCCGCCAAGTCGCACCAGTCAAGATCACGGGGCTCAGCTTTCGGTATCCAACCCGGTCCAACGCACTGGTGCTGAAAGACGTCTCCATCACCATTCCGAGAAGCTCATGTACAGCGATTGTTGGGCGTTCCGGGTCGGGGAAGTCCACAATAACATCGCTGCTTCTCAATTTATACGAGAGTCCGAAGTCAGCCCAAGGGTGGCCCACAATTGCTTTAGGGGGCGTTGACATTCATCAAGTGCACACTCCAACGCTTCGATCTCTCATCTCGATTGTGTCACAGCAGCCCTCTATCTTCCCGGGGACGATCCAGGAGAACATAACTTACGGCCTTGGAGACTCGTCCCCACTCCACCAGGTTTACCATGTACGCGCTGCCGCACAGGCAGCTGGGATTGATGAGTTCATTTCATCTCTGGCCCAAGGCTATCTCACAGTTATCGGTGACGGTGGCGTGGGTTTGTCGGGAGGACAAGCTCAGCGGCTTGTCATCGCACGAGCCCTCATTCGAAAGCCCCAGATACTTATCTTGGACGAGGCCACATCCAGCCTTGATCCCACTAATGCTAAGATCGTTCGCCAAACGGTGCAGCAGCTAGTCGCCGGACAACTTGGACTTACTGTGCTCATCGTCACGCACGCAAGAGAAATGATGGAGATTGCGGACAAGATCGTCGTGCTTGAACAAGGTCGTGTGGTTGAGGACGGGCCATTCGAAGAGCTGGCGCGCCGGAATGGCGGGAAACTGAAGGCTTTGATAGAGGACCCCTGCGAGGACGATGAGACCGATGCATAAAACAGAGGTAATGTTGTGCAATAAAGGCTGCATCGCTGGACGTGAGGCACCTGCGACGAAGAAGGAAGCGCTCAATCGTCGATTCTGTCTTTCCCGGAGGCTTTCGCTTTGACCGGCATGAAAAGTCACCAAGCTATCATGTACATACTTGTCGCTTCTTCGATTCTCTTTGTTTCCAAATAAGATCTTGCTTGATCCAAAGGAGGTATAAATCTGTAGCCAGACCAAGACCTCTAGAGGGCTGGGGTGGCCGGTAAGACTGGGTTGACGTTGTCGACACCTACCTTACTTAGCTTCTCAACCCAGCAGGTAACCCAGCTGCAGTGTCGGGCGTACAGCGGTGAGGTATAGCCTGTGGGGTTTGGCTTGAAACAATTGCGGGGAGGGCTACTCCATACATGACCTGCAATTGGTGGTGACTGCACGATGCCAGGAGGACCTCGTTCACTCAAGCGGGTAGATCTCTATGTCATAGTCTAGTAGACGCACACATGTAACTATGAGCGAGCAGTAGAAGGGAGAGTGTTCCGTAAGATGGTAAACTGTGTGCTCTTGGGTGCTGACTTCGAAATTCTCCGAGAGTGCAGTGTGCAGTGGCCACCCACCACTTCTGGTAGCAGTAGAAGTCTAGTGGCTTTTAGTAGATCTCAGATTAGCTGTTGTGTCAAAAGGTCATAAATTACTGTAGTTAGTCGCGCGTCACATTATTCCAATGATAGAAAACGACCGAAGTCGAGGGAGCCCAGCCCGTGCACGGGGATGGCGTTCCATGGTCATAGCCTCGATGAACCAACCATCAGCCGTTGGCCTTCCAGAAGCGTGGTTGCACCCAACTGGACAGGACATTCCTCGTATTGGATGGATGAGGGGAAGGGGAAGGGATCGGAAGAGCCGCGGGCTTATCGATAGGGAAAAAAGATGACAAGATCTAAAAATGGCATCGCGTCTAAAAGTGGTCCGGGCAGAACAGCCGGACGGAGGAGTAAGTTACTGGCTGTAATGGAATGTCGGTCGGTCGTTTCACCATGAGATTGACTTTAATTACTCGAGGGGGAGGAAATGGAGATCATTAATTTAGGAAGTCTGAAGAAGATATGATGAGTATGATGAGGATACTCTGTGTTTATTTTCTCATTTGGAGGGTGGGCTGAACAAATTTGATTATCAAGGAAGAAATGGATACGAAGGGGAGGAGAGGAGAGGAGGGGAAAGCCTTAGTGGAACTTGGAAAGGCCAGCCACTCAACTCCAATCCCGTGTGTCTCGCAGGCCCAGCCACTCACTCTTTCTTCCTACTGCACTCACCTTCAAGTTAATCTGCACTAGGTTGGTGGTGCAGTGGTGTCTGTCTGTCTGTCTTGTCTTGTCTTGGACAGATAATCAATCGTCACTCTTTGATACCAGCTAGCCGCTGGTTTGTTCTAGCTACCTAGGTATACTGCCTCTACCTAAGCTGTCTTCACTCTTTCTCCGACTTTCCCTTTTTCCCTTTCCTTATTTCTCTTTCTTTTCTTCTTTCCCCTCTTTTTTCCCTCCTCACCTCTTGTGTATGCTGTATGGAGGTCACGGATATGCTGACAAGCCATCTCATGCGTATCTTACTCCAACCATCTCTACTATTCCTGAACACCCCTCTAATCTTCTTTTGACCCTTCCGGTATACTTTCTGGATCCCTGCCTTTTCCATCTGAACACGCATTGGCACCTATCAGCAGCTTCCGCTCCCCGTCTGTATCACCCTATATACAGCCTCACCACATCCGCCAGTTCCGCCACTTTCCCGCTCTAGGCTACCATATCTTTCGAATTTTCCTCCCGAACCAGACTTGAATCGAATCGCTTATCATCTCTTTCGCACTTCTCACACTTCTTGTACCTCTGTATGTTTTGAGGTTGAGGCCTTGGGCCTTTTTCTGCGTTGCCCAAGCTTGTCAGCATGTACATTCCAGACGACCTCCGGCATTTTGGCGCCCGTCAGAATGGGCCGGCCAGCGACCCAAACACGGAGAAGAGCAGCGACAATGGCGGGGACCACACTACGAACAAGAAGAACAATATCTTCATCATTGTAAGGCTACTCGATCTTTCCATTCTTTCTCTCCCTTTCATGAACATCATCCGGATCCCTTTGGTGCTGACAGTAGATAATCACAATTGTAGTGTGCAGCCTGCATCATCTTCGTCCTGTCATTTATTTTGATGCTCTATTTTGTACTGCGAACCCTCCGCCGAATGGAATGCCGCCCGAAATATATACCAGGAAAGTTCCTTAAGGATCGGTGGAATCGATGGAACGTGGGTGTCACGTATGGACAGGTGCCCGATGGATCTTCGACCAACAACCCCGGAAACGCCTCGACTGAAGCACCCCCAGAAGGAGGCTCTGAAATGCACACCACCAATACTGCTGTTCGACGAGAAACTTCAATCCGGTCTATTATCACCCTTCCTCCATATTCTGCGAGCCCCAAACCAACAGAACAGGTCATTGCTCGGGAGGGCGAACGAGAGGGTATGGATGTCGTGGTTGAGTTCCCTGAAACTGCTGAGGAGGAGGAGGAGCGCAGAGAAAATTTGATGGAGTCCTTGTACCAGGTTCGCTTGCAACGAAGACAGGAGCTAGCCGAACGGGAGCAGCGGCGACAGGAGCGTCGTGAGGCTCGTGCTCAGGGAGATCATGCCCGCCTTGAACAGCTACGAATGCAAAGTCGGGCGCGCGCACAGAGTCGATCATCTGCCAACGCTAGTAATTCGACCCTTAGCGCGACGCTTGCAGAAAGTCAGGGTCGTGGTCGCGACAGACGCATTTCCAGTGTTTCCTATGCCGAGGTAGGATACGTCCGTCACGACGGATCGCGTGTTCGAGCCTCGTCGCCCGATTCAGACCGTCGGCCTCTCCTCACAGATGCTACTGGCATGAGCTCCGAAGCTGCCGATCGCTCCTCGGGCTCGATTCTCACCGGCATTCATTCTCGAGGTGAATCATATTCGTCCTTCCAGTCCGGCGCCACCACCATTTCCGAAGCAGACACTCTGACTCAGGTTCGATCTCACGCAACTTCTACTCACTCTCTGGGACAGCCTATTCCAGGGCCGGAAGATGGTGGTGACGTCGGCGCCCTCCACATTCCGCCTCCGGATTACGAAGACCTCGACTGGGGAGAGGCTCCTCCTTATCAAAGTCCAATCGCTGAACGAGGTGAACATGCGCCTCAGCTGCGGGAATTGACTCCCTTACCCACAATCCATGTCGATGCTGCCAGCCCGATCAGCAATACTCCCACAACACCTACCAATCCTTTGCGAGCAGAAGAGGTTCCGACGACACATGCACCCGTGGTAGAAAGTCCTGATGAGGACCGTCCACTTGTTGAGCTATCGATGGAGGGTCACTCGGTCACGGATGGCTCGCATACTCGTCCAGCCTCAAACACATAAATGCCCTGTCGACCGCCCGCTGCGTGCCGATAAAGCCTGCATATATTGAAACAGCTAAACCTGATCGTGCCTTGTGACGACTATGACCATTTACGACTTCTAGATTCTTGGCACATATTCTTTTAATCTCCTTTGGGCACATTGGTTTGTCCTCATCCTCTGAACTTTTGTTAGCCAGCAAGGCGTTAAGCTTAGGTGAAACCATATTGTTGATTGACTTGTTTCGACACATTACCTTTGTACATTTACAATCCGCAAGGATAGCAAGCGCTGGCCTTAAACCACCAGGGGCGCGCATTGCATTCCACATTGTCTGCACATATTACAGGAGGGTGATTTGGGCGGAGTCTATATTATATTGTTATTTGTTTGAATATTCGAAACAAATGAACGTGATCACAATAGCAGTGCCTTGTGTTATTCCGAATTACCAGAATTGCCAATAGCGGAAGAAATCGCGGGGAGAGACCATGGCTCGTTGCTGGTCCGGCCGCACCTCGTGGCCGTGGAATCCAAGGCGGTCAGCAGCTCCACTCGAACAATGTAAACAAACCAAACTGCCGTCCGCCCGTTCCACCCCGAAGCAAGTCAACCCAACCTCCTCGTTTCTTAATTTGTTGTGTCGCATCCACCTTTTACACCTTATGTTGCAGTCAGGAGTGATTGCCGTTGTACTCTCATTGTGAGGCGAAAGCACCGTATTTTCTTCATCTCAACCCCTCAATTGGAAGAACCTAGGGCTCTTGTCTTTTGTTGCTGCTTCCTGTTTCAGAGCACTAGTGGCTCGCGCTGGCCAGACGCGCTGCCATCTAAACAATCCCGCACTTATATCACCTAGCCTATTCGGTCCAGGTAACAACTATCCTACACCCCCTAACCCTCCGCACACAAATGTAGGTGAGAGTCAGGTGCTAACGCGACTGCGTCGATCATCACTAGTGTCAACAACGGACTGGATCTCAACCCGGCGCGTAGCTCATAGACGATATGTCGCGCGAAGCCACAACCAACAGCTTCGCGTCCTTTGGCTCAGACTTTGATCCCGAGCACGAAGCTCTCGAGTCCACCAAAGACATCGGAAGAAGCCCACGACTCCCCAACATGCATAGCAGTGCACGGAACCGCCGCGAAATCCAGCAGGATGAAGAGCCAGATTACGCCTTTAACACCTCAACGTTCGAGCAATACCTCCCCAACTTTTCCCCGGTCGGCACATCAGAAGAGGAGATGGACCATGAGGATGACGATAGCATTTCCATCGAAGCCGGAAGAGGACCCGTAAAGCCTGCACGCCGCTTAGACGACTCAAGAAACTCCTACATGAGCATCGAGAATAGCATTCGTTCGTCGTCACCAGCTATTAGACTCGACTACCCTACATCGAATACACCACAGAAGTCCGCTCTACGCAACGCACCCAAAAGGGCTGCGAGTGAGAGTCTTCGTAAGGATGCCCAGATTCGACGCGCCAGCCAAGCACAAAAGGAGAACCTCGATCCCAAGGCGACCCGGAAAGACCAGCGCCGTACTCTCTCAGATTTTCATGCAAAGGTCCGTGACTCCTACGAAGGATCCTTGCTTGAAGACGAACGGCCGTCGGGAGTGGCCAACAACACGCGTCCGACGCGTTTCGGAAATCCCAACCTCTCCCACCAGATTGCGGACGCTGTTGAGAAGGCTTCGCAGGAGGCCT